TAAGCTCCGATACGAAAGTTTCTGTAACGAAGCAATCGCATGCAACATAGCCCGCAAAATGTTCACGATCCTGTACTCTTGTATGTATCTCGACAAGATTTCCCTGATGGAAGTTTGAGCGCACAATACACAAATTACAGATATTATGCACAATGAGAATAGAGAGAGATTAAAAATAGCATATATAGAACCTTAATAATCAACTTGTCAAATCATCAATACCTTTTACAATTGCCTTTCACGTTATATTACAACTGATTAGTTATTCCAGCGAAATTATTATTCTCATAAATTGCACGCAACAGACGAGTGGGAAATTATATTACAAGCTCGATTACACGTGAAAACAAGATAACAGGACTCGCGAATTGTTGTTGCACGTTACAGTTTCACTTTACTATCATTACGAAATTTGCATAATACATTTTGCGTTTAATCTCGTCGATAGTGATCATTGTCGTGATGCGATAAAATTTGAAATTTCATCGGTACTCCTTGTAATAACCCAAGTAAGAAGAAATTTTTATTCGCCCGAGCGCGTATTGTATCGAACTGCTCGAGCGAGACAATAACGAGGTAGAAGGATGTCTAGCACTGTGTAATGAGCAGAACTGGCTGCAGTTATAGATATTCGATAAAACATATTTCTTATCTCGGTGATTTTTCCAAGTCCGCCGGTTCTCTTTGGGCGAATTATCCCCAGGACGACGATGTAACGACGATAAGAAATAGGGAGGCAAGTTGGCTGTATTTTTGGTAAAGTGATTTACTACGTTAGATAGCGACCCGTTCGTGATGAAACGATAACTTTACGGTTATCTGTTCTTGGATTTTAGATAATCGCAAGTTTAGATATTAATTTTGATAATGCTTTTACACACACACAATGACGGTGTTATGCATCGTAATCTTTTCTCGTCGAGATTTAAAGCTTGACGATAACAGAATATATCAACAATATTGATGAAGGAAGAAGAGCAGAAAATTGACGCGTTAACCTTCACGTCGGAAAATTAATTTTCCGGCGTTAAAGTGTCGATTAATTTGCTTAAGGAAAAACTTTGATTGCAACGAGGGAATTATATGGACGCCTGTGATTACGGAACGGGAAATTATTCCCATGACACCGAAGCTCCGCGCAGCCCAAGTAGTCGGAAGTGTCATAAATTTTGGAGGACGATCACGAACCGCTCCTCTAATGAGAGAAAGATTTACGCTCGCCGATGCCAACGGACGGAATAATGTTTCTCTTTGAAATATTTTTTCGGTCATGCACGTTCGCGTGCACTTTTCGCGAATCACGACGAATGGCCCGTGCAACGCTTTAAACGCATTAACGTGACTCCGAAATCATTATCGGTGTGCAATAATAATAATGCTGTAATAGCGGGAGCCTCTTTCTTTCTCTCTCGGACAATTAGATTAATTTCCCCGATGCTGATTGTGTAATGTAATTCGCGGACGAGGTCAAAGGAGGAAAAATTCTATTTGTCTTTGTCTCTACCGCGCCGCATAATACGGTTAGTTAGACCATCATCATTTCTCACAAAGGTTGCCAACGAACGATTCTGGTGAAATAATTATCCCGCGTTAATCATATCGAGTGATACTGCGTTACGAATCGGACGTCACAATAAATAATAGGAGAGCATATTAAAAAATACAAGATCATTCCTCGCTGCTCGCAAATGAATATTTTTCTTGCCCATCTATTTCCCCGCAACGTGCCGATCGCTCACATACGAGATTAAACTGCCATCCGTTCAATTAGAAGAAATAATAATGATAACGGAGAATGCTCGAGACAAAATTCCATTCCTGAGGTGAAGCAAACAGTCGCGAGATAGGCACTAACCTCGTTTCCTCGTTAAAAATTGTCGATTTAACGACAACTAACGACGCGCGCGCTTCCGCTGCGGGAAAGCTTTGCGCCGCACATTAGCGGTTAATACTACTTACGGCATCGCGATGTAATAGACGAAATCGTTTAAAAGCTACCCGCAGCTCGACGGTGGCGGCAAAGGCAATGAGCGAAAAGGAAAATTAATTGTACTGTAATTTCATTAGCAAAATTTCGAAGAATAACGCCTGGCCTACCGCGTTTAATCGCGGGTAATGGAATTTAATACGCTGCACGCGAATACGATACATGTCGCCGTTAAATTGCCGCGACCGGGCCGGGCGCGAAGATTTTCAGGAGGAAATCTTGAATGACGTCTGTCGTGGTTATACAGCATTTATGGATACATTAGGTATTTACGCGCTATTAAATGCGCGCGTGCACAATAAACGATATTGCAGCCGGCTCATATATCCCGATATATTTTCATAAAAATTCCCAGACGATATTTCAACGAGCGGTAATAGTAATATTTCAAGATAAAGTAGAACAGCGAGACGCAATACAGTCAATCGATCGCGCTTGTACACACGCGTGTAGATATCGTAATTTGTCCATTTCTGTTGTCACCTCTTTGTTCACCCCTAATGACTCAACTGTAATCCTATCAATTTTTCCGATTCATTTAGGTACACCCTTTGCACGCAACCATGCTCGTAGAATGCGCGTTCTCGCCTATGAATCAATTATCACGAAAATTGATCGAATCGTCCGGCGGGGAATATCTCATGTTCAACTGTTACGCAATTAAAATTGCAATTGGTAGCGTAGTAACACTTGGACAAATCGGAATCCAACTGGTATATATTGAAGTCGATATTATAATAGCTCGTGAACATTTTATTTTATAGCAACGAGACGAGATCCATCCCGCCATCCATCCATAATTTTTATCATGTCGAAACACTGCACGTTTGATCATATAATCGAGATGTTGACGTATATATGTTTATATAATTCGGCCGTCGCATCCATCACTGAACGCGTCTCCCGCCGTTATCACTTGATACGTTTGCGCGTATAGATATATATATATATATATATATATCCGTGGTTCGTAATAATTATTCCGATTTTAGCGATCGCTATTGCGAATTAGACGCGCAGCGAGACTTATTAATGGTGCTATTAATCCATAGTGCAATTAATAATCGCAATCGTGCCCGCAAATTTCAATGCTACGCGCATCCTTGTTCGTTGTCTCTCTCCATTGTTAGCGACGTATAATATATATCGCATAGTGGCCTATCGATAATCAAATAATGAGTTTCCAGCGGTATGCTTAATACGTATTACGTATGCGTAATAATCGTAAAAAAGCAACTTAGTCTTCACGTCATTCACATATACACACACACACACACGCCACAGAGAGTGCCGTTTATCATGTAACGTGAAGGAACCGAAGGAAAAGCGAAGATAATATAATACGATTTATACAGGTCGAACTGACCTGAGACTAAAGAAAATGTACGCTTCAGCAGAAATGTGAAAAATTCATATTCTTTTTATACAAGTCTATCGATGGGACGAATGGAGCGCATATTTTTGAAAAGACTTTGACTGAATATAGCATAAAATGTTCCACCGACCAGTGCGATTTAAGCGATAATTGTCCCGCCTTAGACGACTCAAAGTACGCGAAGAATTTCTATTCCGTTTCCATTTTTCTCCGAACGGGAGCGCGTTTATTTTCCCGCCGCTTTCGTCGAACTTTGTTGCACCGCGAAAGGTGGGAAAAGACCGAGGGAAGAGACGTACGCAAAATAAACCCGCGAAAACCACGCGTTCGGCGTAATTGAAGCTTCGAATAACACCGCTGCACCTTTGTATTCTACACTTTTGTATTCTACGAACTAGTTTGCGCCGGGCCGCCACACAGAGGTATCAAACTTGGTCAAAGTGTTTGAGCCCACTCGATCCGCCCACTGAAAGGTAGAGCGTCACGTTAAAATCAAATGTCGAGTTAACGGCAATCCGCAGACGTTACATGTCAATAAAGGTGATTCTCCGCGCGCGCTCTTGTACAGTATTCTATATACGCGGATTTTACGCGAATTACATACAATTTATACGGCGCATCGAAACGAGTCTTTTATATATATAAAGTAATTCTGTTATATTTTCGATTGTCACATCGAAATGTAGCAAATCGCACATAAATACGCGTAAAGTTGAAAACTGACATTTGAATGTTAGATATTTAACATCACTGAAAGATGTATCTCTTCTAATTTCGGTTCCTTTTTTTCCTTCTCTTTCCAACCGCGAAGAACGTAAAAGCATATTTTCAACACTAATAGAACTTATACACGACACACCACGGCTCGAGAATTAACGCTAACATAAAAAGCGTCACTTCCTTCTATCGTACTAGCTTTAAACTTGGCAAATGATTTAGAACGTTACAGCGGTTGTCTGTTTAACGGTGTGTTCCTTTCGCGCGTTACGTTTACTCAAGCAGGACAACGCGAGTTCAAGATCAATCGATATAATTTCTCACTGAAGTAACGGCGTTTCGCTAAATTCAACGATTACACTGTATACGTGCGGACGATCGAATAAATACAATACATTTCCATTTACATTAACGGCCAATTAACGACGACTGTACTGAATTCCGATGAGCACCTCAATCCACACACGATCCGCATTAACCCCTTACACCTCGGCTGTCAACGCTCGGACACGACATGTCACGCGTTTCACCGTCGTTGCAGCATTGACGAGCAATTTATTCCGCCTGACAGATCTAACGATCGGAAACCATTTAACATAACGTCGCGCGTGACACCAATTTTTAATGCTCCATCTTGTCTGTAAGCGTGTAGCTATTGCGTGCAATATAAGTGTAAATTAATGTTACGCGGAACATATGAAAGATGAAAATAAATCTGATTTTTATCGAGCGCGTGAACGCGCCGAATGAACAATCTTATCGCTCGCGAAGCGTTAACAGTACGATAATAGAAATCATAATTAAAGTAATTTGGTTTAAAATTCCGGAAGAGGGGGAATTTTTTCCGCAAAGTTTTCTAACAAAGATGAAAAATCCGCGCGAGAGGAGAAAGAACGCAAAGAGATTCAAACAACGACTCACCTGTGCGCTTCCGCGTGAGAGTAGAGTCCAACTTATCGAAAAGTTCCAAACGTCCAAGATGCGGAGGAAACCAGCGGTACAACCCGATACCGTGATAGAGTTACGACGTGCGTAGCGGTGGGAAAGCAGAAAGAGAGCAAGAGAGAGAGAGAGAGGGAGAGAAAGAGAGAGCGAATGGACCGGTCGTGCGATCTGTATGACGGACAGATGAAGCACAAAGTGCGCACCGCGAGCACGGGCTTCTCCTCTTTATACCCTCGAACTTGCACCTGTGCTTGCGCAGGTCCCTTAAGCTCCAGCGTCCGCTCGTTTCCTTCGTCCGCCGGACGACACAAAGCTCCACGTGTGTGAATGACGATAATGCGTTCGTCTGCTAACGTTTCTCTCTATCGCGTAACTTTTCGCGAAATAATCGAGTACATAAGCGCGCGCGAACACGATTTATTTCGACCCCCTTTCGAACGAAACGTTCAAATTTTTCGTCATAATGGTTAACCGGGACGTGGAATTTTTCATACAATCTGAAAGAACGAGGAGGTTTATTTCATATTCTGCGTGAATCGCGCGTTAATAACACCCACACGCACACGTTGATAAATAAATATTTATCGCAATAATGGAGATATAAGTAGCACATCGAAGCGACCTGTCCTCTAATTGATGTTCTCCGAAATTTTTTTTTGTTGAATTATTTATGGATAACCGCATCGATAAAAGCCGAAAAGTAGGGCGGAAACGATGATCCGAATTCGCACACGAATCGTTCGCATGCATGTAACAACGGTCGCAATAGCAATCTGTTACATATCGCCGTGATTGATACGTTGGAACATTTATTGTTCGGAATTTGAAAAGGGTCGGAATCGTAGTGCGAATTTCGACCGGCAACGTTACTTTACATAGAACTTGATATTGGTGCATAGCGACTGCGATTCGTATCTACCGCTCGTCAAGGTGGAGAAGTACACTTGACGCAATACTTGACCGCGAATTGTTACTACGCAAAACTAATGCAAGGTGACAGTATGACGAGATAAAATCCGAGCCAAGCCCAGTTCTCGAGTTTCGGAGGATTGCCGATACGGTTGCTGAGTCGGCGTCTCGAGAGCAACCAAACGTAAAGAAATCGCGATCGTATCGTGCTTCTCTTAACGTGACCCGCCGATTCCTTCCTCGCTTTCTCGCTTAAATGCTGATACGACAAGCTCTCGAAATCCGCTCGCGTTGACTTGCCATGTATTAATGCTTCTTTATAAGTATACGCGGGATAAGCTCTTTCTTGTAGCTTTCATCGAAACCAAATACTTTTCTCTCTTTTTTAAACAATTGTTTTCTACAGTGTTGTTTAAATTGCGTCGTTAGAATTTTTTTCAAAAAGTTTTGGAAAAAACGGTAGAAAAAGTTTTGAATCCGACGTGAAGAAAGAAGAAAGATAATGAAAAAAATGAAGACCACTGAGTATACGCTTTGCGCTACGTCACGTATCATAGACGATAACGATCTAGAAACAAATTCACGAGGTAAGGTGGATAGAGGTGCCCACCTAGAGATTTATCTAGCCTCGTAATATCGCCTCTGACAGCAAAATTGCATGAGCCACAATTTTCCTTCATAATGTCACGCCTCGCGCCTACAATTATTGATGACACTATCGACGCCCGTTGGATTTCACGTAATCCTAGATAACATTAACGCTAACTGCGTTTTATAAAAACGGTCTATTTTTTTATCGGTTGACATGTAATATGATAGGAAATCTATTCTTCGAGATGGATTTAAAATTACAAAGTGTCTAAAAATTCTCTCTTCTATTTGAGCGAAAAGCAATTTTTTCCATTGGCATTTGGAATGAAGGAGAAACGAAACGTTCTGTATACTCTTTACATTCTAAATTCAAACAAATCGACCGTCGACTCGTTCATATTCAAATTTACAAGCACTTTTTCAGCCGGTCAAACGTTACCCTCAAACGATGCTAAATTTTCAGGTCTATCTTCGCGAGAATTTCGCATATGGTAATATGGTAACGCTAGCTCGATATTGTCGATTGCCGTTCTTTTCCACAATCGAATATCATAGTCCTACGGTAACGTTTCTACGTTACCAGAGTTCTGAATATACCACTCACCGTGAGGTTATCCTGGGAGTCACATTTATCGCGAGAGTTCCTGACTTCCACCGATTATCAAATTTTCAGCAGAGTTTTAAAACAAAGTCCTGTCTCATTGTCGTTGCTAACCATAGAGATATAAGAATAGAGGGAACAAGCCTGTAAGTGGAAATCATAGAGGCAAAGAGAGAGAGATGGATGCCGAGTGTCCTATCTGTCTCTTTCTAGTCACGCGCTGGGATTGACTGCCGCGCCAACGACGATATAGCTATACATTTTTCTCCATCCAATTCAAAGAAACTGTCATTGCTAAAATGATCACTGCAAATATATGCTGTTTTCACTTCAAAATACAAAGGTAGTTGAAGTATATTCAACCATTTACGCCTTATATCTACATCCTTCGGTAGCCTACAACATTTACATATTTTTTTAAATGTAGGAAAAAATAACATATAATTATTTGAAGTTACGTATTTGTACTTTCTTACGAGTGAAAACTGCGGTTACATCCAGAATAAGACTCCGCCTTGCATTTCAAACAATGCCTCATTTTTAAACAAATCGCGTCCAATTATTATTTTGTTAACGTTCGAATGTTTAACGAATTTTAATTCTACACACATGTGCACGCATATTTACAAAACGAAATTTTAGTCTGCTTTCTCCCCTCCTGACGTCGCGTGGTCGTCTTGGCGGCTCATTGTNTAACCTATCACAGCGCTCGACTAGAAAGAGACAGATAGGACACTCGACATCCATCTCTCTGTTGACCTCTATCACTTCCACTTACAGGTAGCATATATCCCTTGTTCCCTCTATTCTTATATCTCTATGTTGCTAACAGTATGTTGAATTACCGAGTAGAGCCGCGAGAAAAATGATAATGCAACATCGCGGTAAAGCGCGATTCATTATCTTAAAATATATCTTTTTACGCGTATTTTTCTATAAAGAGTCCCCATTGTTTTATAGACGAATTAAGAAACCAATATAATTGATAAAATTTGCAAACGTGCAAGCGTCACATTTGCGGCCTACTTGTATAATTTACGTATTTTATTTTTCACATATTTAAAATGAAATCGTACAATTAGTATGGGAAAATGTAAGAAATGTACGTGCAATGCGCGCATATATAGTTATTATTATTTATATGCGGACTAAGAGTTGGATAAAGATATCTTATTTACTGTGTAATGTATCTTTTTCGCACACTTTATTATTTAGCTAATTTTCAGTGAAAGATATTGCCGCGACGAAAACATGTAATCACGTCGGACATTACGTGCGATCCTTGAAGAAGAGAAAAAACACGAAAAATCTGGGACATTGCTAATTTTTCACGATATTCGCGCGCGATAAAAGTGAACGCAAATGTAAAGGAGTCAGCCATATGTCACTTGAGCGACATAAAAACGTAGGTGTAATTTAGTCCTTGTAAAGCTTCTTGTATTCCTGCGTTTTTACACCGTCGCTCTTCCACCACCATTCTGATCTCGTCTAATACTTTCTTGCGTGTTTAACAGTCAAATTTGCCACCCAACCAAATTTACACATTTAATTTGACGTTGAACAAAAGAAAAAACATTGTCAATTCGTTGAAAGCTGCCAGTTTCATCGACTCGCGCACATCATGACATCATCGCGATGTCATCGTCACGGCATTCTCGAGCCTCGTCGCGCGTCGATTGACATTCGCGCCGTATTTCAGCGGCTTACACGATACATTCGCAGGCAATACAGCGCGGCCGAAAGCTTTCGACATCGTTCTTCACTTTGCATATATCTCATCTTGCACTCATACTAACGTACAGTCGGCATAAGAAGGAGGAGACGGACATATAATACCGGTCAAACGTATGAAAGAACGTCGCGACGTAAAATGCGATGTAAAATATTACCGAAAATGAAAGCAAGCCAATGTACGTCGTGTCATAATTAATCGATGGATTCTTCGTTCACACGTCATCGAATTATATCACGCAGTAAGTAGCAATATTGATCAGAATTCACTACTTAGAAATATTGAAGTTTCTCCGATTGACTGTGACCGACCGCAATCGATCAGGGTTAATTTCGTGTCAATGTTATGCAAATTATCCGTACGTCTTTGTCTTCACTTAATGTTAATTAGTTCGGTATATCATGTCCGTTTCCTTTGGATTCAGAGACTTTCTTACAAGTACATTTACATTCTTGGCGTTAGTTTCAAATGTTTTGTAACGTTTAACACAAAATAGGGGAGCTGGACGCGTTTATAGATGCAGCCGTTTTAAATGCAGCCACGCGAAGCATACCATCGAATTTCATCGATTGAAAGTGGATTTTAGATGGGTACATATGTACGCAGTTTGGCTCAAATTTCGCGAATAAAAGTTCCAATAAAATGTTGCCTATTGTTACGCCCCTATCATATTACGACTAATATAGATTCCCACTAAATTAAAAAAAAAAGAAAGAAAACTGGGAAGAGTATATATCGTCTAGTTGTGTATTCGATATCATTATATTTAATTCTGTTTAACAGAGAGCAGGAACACGTTAATATTGTTTACGCTATTTTTTATTCTCTCGATACTTTTATTCTTAATCTTTCATTTATCTTTTATCAAGACCTTTATCACACACGCACGACTGATTAAAATTTAACGCTTTAAAAAACTCAGAATAAAATAAGCTAGTCGAAAATGATCCCCGCTGATTTCGCAAACAGACATGAGAGAATCTCCTGTCTAATATCCTGCCGTGGAAAAACGCGTAAACATTTAGCGCGGAAGCACGGGTAATTCATTCCGGTCTTAACACGGCGGCGATCGATATGTATTTTTTTTTTTTTGCATATCGTTACCACGGTGCAAAATGACGAGTGAGGCCTTTTGACGGCACATTTGCGAGAGACGACGGGCGCGTAATGTGCGCGACGTCGAGTCGACCGCACCGTGACATACGGAAGGGCTTAAATCCGTGCGAAAATAGAATATCAACGGCGACATAGCGCCCACGACGAAGTACGCGCGTTGTACATTTTACTCGGCCCGTTTGTTCCCCTTTTTTATAGCGTACGCGATATCGCAGTGAAATGGCCCGTGCTCCACGTTACGCATACGAGACGCGTCACATTTTCGAAATTCCGATCCAACGACGTTTGCAAATTGTTCGATGATCCACGCGACCCTCACTTACCGAGAGCATAAATCCTACGCGTTTAGCACGGATATTCAGGCGCGCGAAATAACTACGAATGATACACTCGCTCCACGCGAACACGTGACAAAATGAAAGAATTATTTGACAGTTCTTGAAATCCGTTGTCCCTTAAGTGAGTCATTTATACGGAGGAATAAAACGTAAAACACGCATCGCATGTAAATCACCTTTTATCGCGATTATTCGCACATCGCGAATTATAAGAGGGTGGAATGTTAAGTTACGCACCGATAATGTATCGCCCAATTAATCTCATGAATATTCCGATCGAACCCGGGCAAGAGAATAACAATAATAATCCGGAATTACTAGCGCGCCAAACTTTTCGAATTAAAGCCGCTGCTCTCCTTAGCGGAACGCACGGATAGACGTAAGATGGCACGTCCGAAAACGTGCGTGTAAATTAAATAAGAGCACACCTCCGCAAGCTCCAATCGCCTTATTATTGCTGAATTACGTTTCAATCTCCGGATTGAAGAAATCGAACTCATTATCGCGAATCTAGCATCGAGGGATGTTCGAGCGGCCGATGTGTTCCTGATAAGTGGAACGCTTCCTGCAAACTTAACAACTCGCATATTGCTTTTGAATCCTGGCAAATTCTTCCCGAGACTTATCGCGCCATTTAATATGCGAACATCCGGAGTACACCTCGCTCGCAGGGTATTATAAGCGAATTAATAATCGGAAGTACAGGCACGAAGAATTTTGCCAATCGTCAAAAATTATTTTATTACACATTCCATACATTTCACTCCTCGAACGCTCAATTATAATTTTTTCTTTCTCGCGGTAATATACTTACCGCATGAAATGAGATGCACGTATCGAAATGCAATAATATGCTATTTATCCCTGTTGTTACAAATATCCGTGAAAAGTAAGAAAGCGGATAATCGATACGAAGCGATTACGAAGCGCCGGTCCGACGAATTTCGCATCATAAACTCATCGTCATAAAGTTATATTAAACGTGAACGCAAAGTGACGAAAGCAGCCTGACGGAACATTCAAACGTCATGGCGTTTCACTAATGATTCTCCGTGCACGTTAAATTAAATCGCCGATGGATGGCTGGTTTATTGCTTCCTATGCGAAGGGCCGCTAGAGTAATTGACAACGAAAGCAACTTGCCACTCTTCTTCCTTCTGATGACTTAGGTTTTACGACTGGCGCACCACTCTTCTTCATGATGAAAGACACAGCGATTGATATAACGCTTTGTTGACATCATTCTCTCTTTCTTTTTCTCTCTTGAAACAAGATACTGAGTTTTTCGATATACTTGCTTCGAAACTCCTCGACGAGCTAACGATGAATTAATTATACTCGATTATCGATACATAATAATTATACTCGATTTATCACTCTCTTAATGCGATATGAGAGAAAAAGTCGTGACCGAAAGAATAATTCAAAATATAATAACTGATTGTACCATATATCTTTAGCAAAAAAATCAGATAAATACGTTGTTTCCTGTGTCAGAAATATCGAAAGCAGCCGTAAGACCGAGAACAAAATTGACTCCTACGAGAAATGATTCGCATCGCTGAGAGCGTCGCTTTTACATTTTCCGACTTGCATTTCATCCGGTCGTCCCTTACGGATATAAACCAACACGAATTGCGAATATAATTAGGTGGACTGTGCGTGTTAACGAAATGCTCGTTGCAATATTGCACTTTTGTTAGTTCGATCCACAAATGCCAGGTGCGCCGCCACCCGTCTTTATGTACAGTGCGGTCTGACTGCGAGCGTACGTAACTACTAACAGCCGTGGTGGCGATATCTTAACCACTCACTAAGCTTCGCTGATATAAACTGCGGGAACTTGTTGCGCCTTTTTCCACACGCCGTTGATGAAATTTCAGAGACGCGATGGATAATATTTTTTTTAACTAAAACACCCTTTCTCTCGCTTGAATAGAAATAAATGTCCACAGATATACTTACATTTCTACTATATATTTACGTGATATACGTGTTGCGCGAGACGTCTCTTGGCGATATCTAATTACACGTCCTGCAAGAGCAATCATAATTATCCGCAGCCACATGGCCACCGTGGACAATATCTGGACAAGTTACAGACATTTTCTCCGACAATAATAATCGAATAACGCGCAATTTTTTAACGATACTTTTATTATAAGTTTTGAAGAATACTCATCTTTCAATTGGAAATATTCTACGAATCCATACGTCATTGGTAGCCGTCATATTTATCACTTTCGTGAAAGTTCGCGCGATTAAAAGGTGGGATATTACTGCACCAAATTTCGCAAATTTCATGAAAACCTCAATAATTGACATGTGTCTTACTTTCATCTATATGTCGTCTTTTTATTTGCAAGAAACGACCGCGGGGAATTGCGGGGAAAGTTCCCTTTGGACACTTTTCTCGCCCATGAAATTTCCAGATGTGTAAGATGTTTATTTTTACTTGTACGTAGCTACATATACACTATTTATCCTCCTACCAGCAAATATGAACGAGATATATCGCGACAGTAGCAGCTGCGCTATTAAGCTTAGCTTACATTTCGCGCGACGTTTTATCCATTCAAACATCAACGAGTTACAAAGAACTAAAGACACCAAATTTAGCGGGGATAGTTTTCGCAAAATGAAGAGATTTCTCGACGATGTGAACGCTAAATATGCAAATTACGCGACAGAACATTAGTTCTCATTTAATTTCAAGAACGCTTAATTTCAGGTTGTTGTGTCAGAATTCGGCACTCTACTGCAAAGATATTTAATGTGGAAATTAGTCAAAGTAACCGAGATAACCGAAATATGTATGTATATATTAGGTTGGCAAGGATGAAATTTGTAGTTAATAATATTGCCAACTGTAACAGCTTATTATTCGACATTGGTTTAATATATTACCGTTCTGTTTTTTTCTTGTTGGAAAGTTACATATCTCTCCTGTTTAAAGAAATCATTATAAGCTCTAAAAAATATTAAAACCTTTTTTTAAAAATTAATTTTGAAAATGGAACGGTCGTAAATTCGCACTATTATGAAGTATGAGTTCTTATGTGAAACTGCGGCATCGCACACCGCGCGAAACATTAACAGTGTATTTGGCTCTAGTGTTACTATGCAGCAGACAGTATCAAATTGGTTTGCTAAATTTCGTACAGGTAACTTTGACCTCATAAATGAGCCACGCGGTCGCCCAGAATCAAAGGTCAATAATGACGAACTAAAGGTCATCGTTGAGTCTGACCCATCTCAGAGTGCCTATGAATTATCGTTGAAGTTTGGTGTTAGCAAACAAACAATATTAACTCATTTAGCTCAAATCGGTAGAGTGAAAAAGTTGGATAAGTGGGTTCCACATGAACTGAATGAAAAACAGAAACAAAAGCGTTTGGAAGCTTGCTTGATGTTGCTTTCTCGTCACAAATCTGATCCATTTTTTAATCGAATCGTCACTTGTGATGAGAAATGGATCCAATATGACAATCGCAAACGTTCAGCACAGTGGTTGGACAAGGATGAATCACCAAAACACACTCCGAAGGGCAATATTCATGAAAAGAAGCTGACGGTGAGTGTTTGGTGGTCTAGCGCAGGTGTGATCCATTATGATTTCATGAAACCTGGCTCATCGATCACAGCAGAAATATACTGCAACCAACTGGACGCAATGATGCAAAAACTTAAAGAAAAACTAGAGCCTAGATTGGTCAACAGATCGACTCCTATCTTATTGCATGATAACGCTTGACCACAGACTGCACAAATGACTGTGGCAAAACTACAGGAATTAGAGTTGGAACTTCTTTATCATCCTCCGTGCCCACCAGACTGGCTACCACTTCTTCCGCAATTTGGACAACTTCTTAATAGGAAAACAATTCAATTCCGACAATGCTGTAAAACTGGCCTTCCAGGAATTCATTGACTCTCGTCCGCCAGGGTTTTATACCACCGGCCTGAACAACCTGCCGCTTAAATGGCAAAAGTGTATAGACAATATGGGCGCATACTTTGATGAATAAAATAATTCCTTATATCTGTAAGTTATTAACCAACTTCGCCTTTTTTTCTACAAATTTCATCCTTGACGACCTGATATATATACTAAATATAGAAGCAAATACCGCGTACGGTAAACTGAAATTTGAACTATGCGAAAGGGCGAGAGACAACACGGAGCGGCTGGTTGAAAATTTCATTTTGTAACTGCGAGAGGAAACGTACGACCGAAACGGTTTCGAATGACATACATCGATAACCTAGTTTTTTTTCTCAGATATATTATTTATTTGCGATAACTAACTAACGGCCGACAAACAATTAAATCCAGTAAACTTTCGATTAAATCCCACCTACGACGGCTCATGTGTTTTCGTATCGCCGCGAAATTCACGGCGCCGACGATGAAGGTGCGCGCTCGCGATTTGATCTCTCTCGTTCTCACGAGGGGGTAGATGTTTCTCTGTCTACCGACGCAGGTGCGCATCCTGAAGGCGCGTTGATCAGCCACCCCACCATGCACCACCATGCTCCACCATGTGCGTCTATAAAAGCACTGGTCGCATCCGCGCCTCCGAGTTCAGTCGCCGACCCCTTCGATCGAGATCGACCTGACTTTTGCGGTCCAGCGAGAAGCCCCGTTTTTGGTGTCCCGCGCGCGGGACACGATTCGAATAGGTGTCCCGCTCGTTTCTCCGAGGGTGAACAGAAGTGATACATACGTACGTTCATTTTTGAGTGCATAGAAAGTAAAGGTCTCGTGACGATCTGTTCGAAGATTCCTTAAAGTACGCGTTTTCAAATGTCGCGATCCGAACGTTTCTTGCGCAAAGTCTGTGTAACGATACAACTTGCATTTATATGTCTTTCTATCTCATTAGAATCTCACTAATTGGAAAAGTGAGAATTGAGAGAGTGAGATATCTGACAGTAATCCGTCATCTCTTCCAAAGAGATAGAGTCAACGTTGCAAATTTAACAGATCCTTTCCCCATTTTACGTACGCATCGAGAAAGGCTTTGGCTGTAACGTGCAATTTAATTGAAATTCGGAGAAAATAGTCCTCATCTCTTAACCGATTTGCAGGCGACAGAATAGGCTTATCGATCATTTCGAAAAGCACTAGTAAGGAATATCACATGGCGTCGACTTCAAGAAATCCCCTCACGCTGACAGTCGTCGTGCAAACTTCAATCATCATGTTGAACTTTTGCTTCGTTGAATGCGCGGGCGGTAGGTACAGTTTCCGCTCCCTGTCGTGGTGTACTTTTTCCCCCTCTTCTGCGAACAATATATTCACGTGTACCGGCGTATGTCACGACAAATCGTGGCGGAAGCATGAGATGAGATTTCTTTTCGGTTTCTTGTGAAATGTGGAACGTTAAATTCATCCGTTTTACCGCGTATTTGATACCATCATATGAACCATCATTAGCCGATGTCAAAAGATACTACAAAGTGTCAAGAATGATCTTGTTGCGTTTAACTTGCTTCGCGAAAGACCTGCTTTTAGATGTGGCTCTATTTTTACACCATGTAAAAATATTGGCAGTATTTGTTTGATGAACACTTGATAAACCGTCCGACACGTGATAGAATCGAATTATTTGAATGACCAGCGAGATGTATATATTTTTGACTTTTAAATCGATTTGTCTGCCGATCTAGTTAAAATTTCGATATCGCGCTATTACGGCTATTTCCGTGTTTCTCGTACTATACAGTCAAGACTCGTCGATATTAATTCGCGCGTAAATTCTCACCTCTCGAAATTTCAGTCGAAACTATAACCGAAATTCTATCGAATTCCTTTCTAATCGGTATGATTCCACACGCTTATTCAACTCGATGTAAAAATATACGAATGTTCGAAACTGTACAAACGCGAACTTTAACAAGCCGCAGTACTCTTTCGCGGGCGATACGTTTACAAAACTGTGATCGCGAAACAAAGGCGAATGTAAATCTCGTCTATAGTTACCACACCTTATTATTCTTTCACCGTGATTACTTTCGCTCGACTCGACGTGGAAACTCGAGTGCTTATTGGATGGCGAATCTGGCAGAAATATGTATAAGCAGCTCAGGAAATTTGCTTGCGCATCAGGCGGAAAATAATTATTCACGATATCGCAATGTCTCCGGACTGACTCTCAGTTATATAACTATTAATTTGGAATAAAAAGATACGAGTTTATTACAGTATCCGCGGGATGCTAACTTTACGGATTATTCTATAAAAAGCTGTAATAGTATAGAATTTTATATCTCCGAAACTCGCGGTGAATAAATTCGACATACTGCGTTACATTGGAAATATTTAATTGATACGAAACTCATATAATAACAGTTTTACGTTCTCGTTTGTATTTTCTCTATCAATTGTACGATTAACACAGTGATAATGTGGCATCGAATTATTAAAAGTTCGAAACTCTTGAAGACTAAATGTATAACATCGTGACGTAATTCTTATGAATCCTTTAAGCAAAAGTGTACATTCTCGCCTCAGTGCGTCTCCGGCGGAATACTCCGAACTCGGTTGAATTGGATATGGAAAAAATGGCGAAAAAGACACGAATCTATTTTTGTTCAAAGAGAAAAAGCTTATTGCGTCATTTTATGTCATGATATTCTAGGGAGATATCAAATGTTCAATCCCCGACAAAGTGACAGAAATGCGCCTGTGTAGTCGACAAAATTTCTAGGTAAAACTCATGTTTTTCACTGAATCACGTAACAAATCTCACAACATATATCTCCACGTGAAAAACGTGACAATTTGAGGGAGGAAAATCAATATTGTCGACAAATGTATACCGAGAGTATCGCTAAAGAACTATCGGACTCTCCTCGCTATCTCGATCTTTGGAAATTCTCAATCAGCTTGTGAAATTAGTTTGCATTAACAAACCGATAAAATTAGAGAAAATAATTTAAGTTACGTTAATTATTGTGGTTTCGAGAAATTCGTCCGCATTGGAAGTTCCGAAATAGACTTCCGGCTGCCGAATACATTGTTCGCGAGGATCAAAAGGCGTCGTTTGAAATTGAATCCCGAGTGAGGAGTTCGCAAGCCTTTATCTATTACACCAACTGCTTCCTTAACGACCGAGCTTTTGCGTAACCAAGATGCCAAGCGCGTCAAAGATCGTCATCGGAATCAAGATCGGGATAGAGACAAATGAACTACCTAAATTGTATCGGTTCGAGAAAAAAACCTTTGAGGATGAACTCTTGGCTGAACTCCCGAGAGTCTCTCGGTGCATTACGTATGTGCCTCGCGCACAGACGGTGAATGGAATAACGCGCGATGGACACAGCGCACACGGAAGCGAAAACGAATTTGCTTCGTTCCTTCGTGTTTTTACGCGAGCAAAGCACACGCCTAAGGGATTTGCGGTGTAGGCGCTTCTATTTCGCCCTATGAACAAGCATCTCCGTAGATTCCATCCGTGCCGTGACCTTTCTATCGACATTCTTTTAATCCGTATATCGCGATTTCAATTATCTCTTGCTGATTCTGAATAAAGCTTATCTTGGGATTCGATTGATATTTTCAGTCCGTTGTTACGTAGATGCAGATTACGATGTTAAATCGCGATCGAGAGTATATTATTGCATACCGTTGTTATACATATATTACTTATAACAGCCATAATTCCCGTGGTGAGAAGATTTTTCTGAATTTTTCTGATTTTTAATTCAAATATCGTTTTAATTCAATTCGTAATATCTCTCTTTCAAAATACGTAAATTCTTCCGATAAGAGCGTAATCGAATTTCAACTCCGGAGCGCGGTGTTCGGTGAAATAAAGGGATAAATGGAAAACCAATTTCACTGGATATTATCCGCATTCGCTGCATGCGGGAAATATCGGGACAAGCTTCTTCGTATCGTACGATTATAGTTACGTTATAGACGGCTCGCGAGATCGTTCTTAGCGCGAAACACTGTCCGGAGACACATAACAGTAATAAGCACTCTCGAATAAATTTTTATTGCATTCCTTGGTAGAGGTACGACGCGCAATGAACACGGTTTTTGTTTTATTCGCGGACGAGTCGCCGATATCACCTCTGCTTCTTTAGTCGAATTCTCGGCTCTTATGTCGCGTTATTACGGTATATTGTGTTACACGAAGATGAAATTTCCAACAACTCTTGAATAAACGTTCGTTCCACGTCTCTGTCCGCTCATATATGCTCACTTTTATTCGTTATACGATAAACGAAGATATAAGAATATTAATAACCAAACACAAAGCTATGTGTGGCAATATTATAATAATATGTAATTATTTGTTTGATCTAGTAACCTGTTTAAATTTTGGACATTCCTGTTGGGGAGGTACGTATATATATTTCAACCAACACATCTTCTCGATAAGTGACCCGAAATGTCTGTCTCTGACCGTTAATCAGATGAAAGGATTTTATTAAGAGACACAAAGTAACGGCATTAAAAAACTTTGTAGCACACGGTAAACGCAGCGATGTCCAAGATGCGTCCGGCTTACGTGTCCTGGCAGCTAAGGCTCTGTTGAGCGAATTTCCGCAAAACGGCATCGCGTCCTCCTCCAAGGCGCAATGGCTTCTATCCCGTTTGGTTGCCGGTCAGCCCGTGCTACCGGATAAGTATCGCGTTAGATGGAACAACATCCCTAAAGGTAAAACATACGTCCCGGCAAAGTGGGAGCGCGACACCACGTCCACGGACAATGAGAATCTCGAATCAATCAGGTGAGATTTTCGAAAGAGAAAGGCGTCAAAGGGATGAAACGGTATTTAGAGAGAAACTTTTTGCATTTAATTACATACAGCTTTTTGGCGCTTATTTCACCCCTTAAACGTTTATTGCTCTTCTTTATTAAGAGTTAAAGGCGTGGGAATGCTTTGTTTTGACGTCAGACTTTGAATGGAAGTTGATTCTCTATGAAAGAAGCGTACAATTACTCATAGTCACTCGAGTCACCGCATACCTACGAAACTCTTGTCCAAATTGATGAGCCGGGATCGACGGTGTCACCTCGTTTATATTCGGGATTAAATTGTTGCGGTTACCCGAGACGAAATGTTCGCTGAGAAAAGAAAATCAAAGAGTAAGATTTCGACTTGCCTTTTCGGCATTGAGCGAGCATTATTCGGCAAAGAAATGCGATCGAGTGAACAACATTTAATCAGACATTGTAGAAACTCAGTCGGAGGGGGACGAAAAACTTGCGCGAAATTACACGAAAGTATATTTCATAGCTGACAAGATTCTAAAACGCGCTTCTCCGCAGACTTTTGTTAAAAACTTTGCTTTACGTAATATTCTATAATAATATTATTAGTAATAATACTAGTAATAATATTAGTAATAAAAAGTTGAATCATGAGAGACTATTATATAATAGTAATATTATATAATAGTCTCTCATAATTCAACTTTCCGACGTTTTGATCGAGGAGTAACATTACATCGAGATAATCGCGCTACAGTTTAATTAATGTTAGTTTAATCGCTTTTATTCGTCACTTTCAATTGTAATTACATCCATCTTTCGCCGCATTCTCACGGTTTCGGACGAAACGAATTCGGAAATATTACTTCTTCTCTTTTGTGACTAACGCACATGTGACTAACGTACTTGCACAATTTATCTTTAATAGTGTATACATTTGTGTGACACTTGCTTATATCTGAACTAATATCGTACGGAGAATATCTTAATTTCTCACAGTAATTAATAGGCTTATACGTAACATTCGCGATATATATTTACAGAGTTCCAATTGACAACGCAAACGAAAAAAAAGTGAACAATGCCAAGGGTACGATGTGCAGTACGAATGAGAAACCCGAGAAAAACATCGCGGAGATCTTGTTGGTTTCGCCCGATGAATACGAAAAACCGATTAAAAACCTTCAAAATTTCGACATACTGAAGTTCCTGGTAAACTTTGTGTTTTCATCAGTCCTCGATAAATTTGTCGATAACATAATCGTCAGTCTCTACCGAATATTAACGATTAACGTTTTTCTTCGCCCACAGAATATGAGGAATGGGAAAATGGAATAAAAGACTGCAAGACACCGCGATGAGTGAGCAAATTCTCGAGAGAGACACCACCGAAGAGTGATAACAATTCTCCGCACAAAAATGTGTTTTCGTATTCATCTCTATTAGCATTTCAGCCGTGAACAAGTTCTTATTTGCAATTAGAAAATTAGACTCTTCTCTGATGAAACTCTCGATGACAGCAATTCTGTTGATTGATATGGCACAATCATGTTAAATATTCAACAACAACGCACATAATTCTATATCGATTCTCATAGAATTCTGTTTCAATTAGTGCGAAAATGTATGTGCATACCCACTACTATAGTGTCTTTATCTCTGCGAAAGCTTTTTACTTCCCTCCAACTGAGACTCTGTAAAGCTTACCGAATAAATCTGAAGTATTGATTTTATATTAATTTATACGAACATCAGTCAGTTGTGGGCGGAATTAAAACCGCGTGTGCTTCGAGGAAACCCGAAAGCGCGTATCGCTAAAACAGTGCGACGGTGTAACGGTTTACAAGTATTTCATTGCGACGAATGAACAACGTTGAGTACGTAGAAGAAAATTAGAAAATAAAAACTGTTATCACTAAAAGCAATCGTATAAAGGAAAAGAAAATACACGCCGAATATGTGTATCAGCATTTTGTAATTTCAATACTTCTCACTCCATGACTGTCGGTGCAAGGATGCAAAAAAATCATAAATAATAGCTACCACTTCGGTCCAACAAGTCGGATTTCTGATGCGAGGATATTTATTTCGCGAAAATAAGTTATAATCATCAACTGTGTGCGACAAGATGTTTACATGCAACAAATTTTCGTAGTTCATTATTTCACCCGGTTACAATGCGCTATCGATTTTCTAGGAGCAAAACCGAGGATAACTTGCTGTCTCACGATACGACGACGAATGTTACCGACACAATTCGCATCGCGAACATGCGATTATCCGCCGAGAACATAGTATCGTCGGAAACCAGGGGATGTAATTTCGTGAGAGTTTTATCCGATCGAACGGGGTTCGTGATAATGATAGTGATCAAATGAGCGGAAACGGTGTTTACGCAGACGCGGTGTTTACGCAGACGCGAATTATAAGGCGCGTATAATATTCAAATTATAACCTGATAAAGTACAGACATCAATGTAATAGCCCCGCGACTGCTTTCTCAGCCTTGCCGAAAACAAGTCAGTGACAAATCGACAGTTCTGAGTGAAGAACAGTCGCTTCTGATCCAACACCATCCTTATAAATAAAACTTAGCGTTTTATTAAATATACACATTTAATAAATCATAAAAGTAAATGTACCAAACAATATATACGTATGTGTTTAATTAAACATAAATTAAATATTATCTCGAGGAACTTAACAAGCTTGTAATAAAAGTATCACAGCACTGAATACATAGATAATTAATTAATAATCAGGCGATATTTTACTGAGATCCGCGCAAGTTTTTCCGCGCGAAAGTACCGAATAGTACCAAAGTGTAAAATATTTTATGCAAAATAATTATTATCAGTCGCACAAACATATTATCGTACATATATTACACTACTACTAAATAACGCACACAATTGAAATGTCTCGACTTTCCTTTTACTGCGTTAAATAATTATATATTATCTGATCGTATCAACGGTGATTCGTCCAATTGCATAACTATGTAAGTTCTATTCAATTTTCTTTCAATTATGTCCTTTCTATCAATCATTTCCGCTTTTTATCTCGTCTTAGATGTATATAGATTTATAACGCTCGCGAGAAACGTGATTGTCGCAACAGCACGGAAAAGATACGCAACAGCGTCATTGTTTATAGATTCGGCATAACAGCTAAACGAATAACGCAAGTTGTTAATTTTCCTTTCGAATAATTATATGGAAGTCGCTTCGTCTTGACACACATATATAGACAACTCGCCTTATATGCACTCCCTTTATTTATTAGTTACCTCCAGATCCGTGCGATGCGGGCGACGATGCGTCGATAACTAAAAAAATACACAGCATTCACGCACATATTAGGCATCACTTGCGCGTTCATTACTTTCTTAATTGCTAAACTCTTAAGACGCACGATTTACCAAAGCAGTTCATGCTGAAACGGGACAAAATAAGCGCTCTCATAGAATTTTGTTTTACAAATTCCGGTTTGTAGAAAGTTAGCTCGATCTGGATGTTAAGGAAAAAATACAAAGACCTTGTCGGATCATTATTTGAAAGCTGGTTAGTTTTGTTTTATCTGGAAAATACGACAAACCTTTAGCAGCAAGATAATATTTATATCGACAGATGCACACGTACCCATTGATCAACAAGAGAGGACAATCGGTAGGAATTGAACGGTCGAGTGTCCCGACGAGACGGAATGAAAGATCGCTCTGAACGTTCCCGCAACTTGTCGTTCGGAAGAACGAAGAGTAAGTCGTCGTCGTCCTCGTCATCGTTTGGCGATGATATTTCGGACTCTTGGGGATGTCGGCTCGGCAGATTATTGCTCGCCTCCAGCATGCGCCGTGCAAGCGGATCGAACCTCTTCCCGTGACCTCCGAAGCATGAATGTCCGAATATCGAGCAGCCACCTCAGGGAATCAACGATTCGTATTAATTGCGAAGGAAACCTGCAGGGATGAAATTGCGAAGAGAAAGCGATTCAAAAAACCCGTGAGAAGAAGTTCGGATTCATCACGGTTATCCGAACTTTTCGAAAACGGAATTACAACGATTGAATTTCTCTTTCGATGTTGAACTCTCTTCCTCATTGTTGCAAGCTAACGAGCATTGTCCAAACATTGAAACAAAATGTCTGAAACCAATTGTTCTCTCTGCGCCGTTGATACCGCAACAAACGCGCCACTTATTCATTTAATCAATACGGAATACAGATAACCCAAAAATAATGATTAATATCCCACCGCTCTCGCCCTCAATTGTAAAGGCTCGCAAATGTACCTGCGTTAAATTGCTCTTCAAGTGGCGGAATTCAAACTAAGCCGCTGAATTTCTATAATGACGTGTATTGTAAGTGTGTAAGTATTGACATTAAATCTTTTACGGCGCGGATCTTTTAAGCCACGAGAAAATGATAGCATATTTTAACGTAAAAATATGTTTATATTGTTGATTGTTTAAAATAAGCTCTCCTGTTGAAAGAACAATGTCAGTTTGAATTTTCTATCGAATAATTTTCCAGAAATAATTTTGTCCAGACAGGACAAATTACGATTTATGAAAATGATTCATTGTGATCCTGAAATGTTCCGTAATTCAAATATTTTCAGGCGAAATTTTAATTTAAACTATGTCGACATTGCGACACTGTGAACTTTTAACTTGGCTTATCTCGCCATAATAATTATACATACCGATCAACCGAAAAACGCGTCTATTGTTTGAAAAAATGAATATGCCACACACATATACAACTCACTAAATAAAGATAATATTTTCATACTTAATATATTATATGATATATATAATATTTTAATTTTGTACGACGCGAAAATATGTATTTATTCATATGCGTATGAAGCAGATTAAAATATTTAAATGACTTGTCGCAAACTTATTAAATTTCGACGCGTACATGTTTAATGAAAATCGCCGGGCGACAAGTTTTGGCCGATCGAATATTGTCGAAGATAACAGAAATAATCTGCGATACGTGCCCAAATTCAAATTGCTTACGATTAAAATGATAAAGGAGCGTTGCTCCGCCAAATTGTTCGTTCAATTATCATCCAAAACGAAGCTGATTAATTGAGTTCGACATTTTTTCGCTGCATCGATCGGACGAGCTTCTATGCTTGTTACATTTTCAGAAGTTTTACGCAGCTACACGAGAGAAAGAGCTGTCTAAGCGCGCTCTTGTCTTATTTCTCGACATATATGCGTTTCATATTGATAATGCATACAATGTTCATAAAATTGTCAATACATTATCCATATCTCAGCAGACTTAAACAAAGCAGTGATGAAGCGTGCGACGTCGACTCCGTCCGCCAATGTATAAGAAGAGATCAATCAAGACCGCGCGTTATAAAGTTTTGATACATACGTGGCAGCTCCACGTCGGTTGTAGGTCACTTAGGACGATTACAAACATTCCATATCGCGCAGATATACTTTCGGGATGATACACATTTTCCCGCGTGAAGAAGAATGCGCGTAGCCTCGTGCGCAATATGTTCCTGCTTTCGTTTGCACTTGAACCGCATTCGAATTCATCATCGCTCGCGAAAGCACCGCGGCTGGATAATTCCAAGTAACCGGAACGTTTACAATGGATTCGCGATTCTTGGTAGATCGAATTACCGCGACTTTTTGCACGCTATCGCGGTAATAGTCGTGAGAATTCACGGACGTTCGAGTCGACTTTTTTTCGCGAAAAATTAAGACTTCGAAAATCCCCAAACTTTCCCGTTAAACGTTGACGTATCAAAACGCTTCAAATTCAAGATTGATCCCGGCGATAAACGCGGACAACAGGCGTAAACAAGCCGGAAGTCACGTTAAAGGTTGTGTTCAGTGCGTAATCGTTAATAATACGCGACGTTTGCCCGTTACACAATGCACCTAAGTAAGCCGTCGTCCCATTATGCGCGCTAACTACGTTGCAATTTTCTCCGCGGACGTTGCTTTTAATCCCGCGTGGTATGTAATGTGGGTCAATCAAGTTGCTAATTTTCTACAACTGAAGCATTAAATTAGCGCTTTTAGAGAGAATCGACGATCGCGTGCGATTTGAACGCCTGCTGCTAAAATAATAGCAACTGTCCAAGTGAAATTTGCTGAAATTTCCCCGCGCAAAGTATCTCGTTCTTGTCATGGGGGAAAGAGATTTGTCTAACGTGAATTGAAATAATGTTATTCTCGATATGTAAATATTTGGAAAGATTAGCGTTGTTGTTGCGCACGATAAAAAAGAAAAGTGATAATCTGGACGTTCAATTTCCGAAATGTGTCAGAAACGATCGATGGTTTCTCCATCTCTACCGCCTCCCTCAGTCATCATTGGTATCCTCGATAATTTCTATCCTTGCGTTAAACTCGCGCTATTCCCAATTCACGCAAGAACAGATAATCGTGTCACGGAAACGTGAGCAAACGTCGGTCGACGCAACATCTCGCAGCCGTGAACGGATTTGACATTACAATGTGGCATCGATAACTCGGCTCTGCGCGAGTTTTACGTAGAACATTTCACGACACACAGCATCGCAGTAATAATCAAACTCGCTGGGACCGAAATAGAAGTTGAACGGACAGTCGCGATGTGTCATCGAACGTACAATAAAACTACGCGAAGTTTACGTCGCGCCATTGTCGCGGTTTGTACCCGATCGTGCGGCAGCAGAAATAATATACGATTAACGTTACGGAGTTATTAACGCGTCTGTACTTATGCCTCGCATTATATCTACCTAACGATAAGCCTTGCGGAACGTGATCATTTCCAAGGATGTAACTACACGAGGAAGAGTATCATTAAACATCGGGGCGTAGAATTTGTCTACTCGTCTCTGGCTTTTTTCTAATTGTAAACCTTCTCGGAGTACAAGTCGTGCTCTCTAATTACGTTAAATTAAGTTGCAAAATGTCCGAGCACTCTGAAGATAAACAGACATTGTGAACACTTGGCGTTTGAGACGGACAAGAAGATTAATATCGCTTGAATAAAAACTACTTCTTCTTCTGAGTCATACGTTTTCGTTAATGTCTCCCACGTCGCCTTAAATGCCGAAGATTGATCGGGAAATTCTTTTCATAAATTTTGTGTATGTGGAATCTATCGAAGTCCATACGTTAACGCGATGATTGTGACAAAAAGGCAAATTGACGTATCCCCAGAGAAATTGCATTCAATGTTTGTAAGTTTTTTCGCACACGAAGCCATTTTCGATGTACAACGCGCGAGTTGATGTCGAATCGACGGAACAATTCGGCGCGACGGCATTTGAAATATCAAAGCGACGCGTTGTTTAAATTTCACGAGAAAGCGCTAGGCCGAAATATAGAGAGTTATTCGTACACACGCCTAACAAATATCATACTTTTTTGATATTGCCGTATTTGCGCTAGTTTTTCGATGCGAGGGCTATTTGTAGAAATAAATTTGTACAAGTTGCTACAAAGCTCAAATTTCAAACATGATGATCAATATCGCGTATCCTTTGATACCGCTCGATCGTTCGACTAGTAATATTCTCTCGCAGCTTCGTCTTCAAACAAGAAGAATGTTTGTTCTCGCATTTTTGCAAATACATGTGTTGTTCGAAAGAGAAAAAAACAAATATATATGCGCGCGAGTGCGTTAAATAAAATTTTCTTTCCACGTAAGAGAAATCACGAATCGCATGAATCTGTTTGTATTTATTGACAGTTATTTTTGACACTTGAAATTTTTGGAAAACAACCGGAAAAGACGTGGTTTTGTCTTAGTCTCGCCAAGTTGAACAATTCTCAAGATCTTTCACAGTCTCTTCGCACGAAGAAACATAATTCTCAGTGAACAGTGATCCGTACGTTCTATTCGAGTAACAGGTAACTAGACTTGAATTCTTTAATTAAGAACCGTGCGAGGTACTTTATCCCACTTTTCGCCAAAGGCTCGGTGAACTTACCTGTTCGCGATCCTCCTGATCCTGAAAATTAAAAAATTCCACTTTGATCTATCGATACTTTTGAGAAAGTTTCGCAATTACTGTCTACGTGTAATTAAAAAATGTCCGAGGGTCATTTTGGAGTCGTCGAGTTTAAATAAAAAAATTACCAACTTTCGAAATCGATAAAATAATTTGTAGATGAAAAGCAAATAAACACTGTGAAAAACTGTGACGATGATCTGCAACTGTGTATCATGTCTATTTCCTCCGAAAGATCGCAAAAAATTGATCGTTTCCTTCCGATTTTCTTATGACAAAATTGACTATAAAAGATACGATAAAGAGAAATTATTGTCCTACACAGTATATTTGTACAGCAATTTTTGCTAAAATAATTTCAAATTCACAGCGCTTGAGCTTTGTTTATTCCTTTGAAATGTTTCAGTGGTCATTAAAAGTGGACCCGATTACCAGGTTATTGCGATAAAATACAGACGAAGCGACGATAAAACGGGGGGAAGGATTACTCACGTTTCGCCTCTGCCTTGTCGCTCCCGGAAGCCAGAACCGTTAGCAAAAGGACGAAGAGGTAAACCGAGAAGCCGGAAGTCGCGTTATTCCACATCGTGGTGCGACAACGTGCGTTTCGGTTGACTCGGAAGACAGTCACCGAAGAAACGAGAATTCTTCCTTGACTATCGCGGTTTCGTCGACCGATAACGGATGACACCGAAACGATGCTACCCCGTCGAGCAGGTGGTTGTGAATGAACGATGGTGGCGGCGCGCGTTCCCTCTTTTACAAGGAACCGGAGCGGCGCAGTCTGTGGTGCATGCCGGGTACGCAGTTGCCTGGATATCGTGGGTGGCGTTGATATCTTCCAGGTGGTGGTGGCTGCGGACATTGTTATCGTTTGAACTTTGATTTCCGCATACGGAGATTGACGCGGATAATGAGTCGCGATTGAGAAACGTCATATGTGCCTTGGAAGCGGCTGCGTGAAATAAGATTCGATAGAAATTGGGAACTACCGTAAAATTACAACCAGCTCTGACATTATGACTTCGTTTATCCTCACTCGTTCTTCAAACTATATTGTAATGATATTACGGCTTCAAGCGCATTGCCTGACTTCGCATTGATACCCTCGATGATGTTTGACTATGAACATTTTCTGTCATAATCGAAATCTCGACTTCATTTTTGGCAGTTTGAATTTCTGCCAGTAAGTATAATTGCTGTTCAAATACATAGGAAACGTGTCCTGCGCGCGAGTGTGATAGACCGTCTTCGACATTCTCTGGGTCAAAGTTCTCTCTCTTTCTCTCTCTCTACGCTTTGAACGTCATATATCGATGGGATTATTTCATTCATGCGACAATTGCGAGTTGCGCTTTCAAGCTGAATTTAATTATTAGTTATTTGCCTGTTCGAGACATGCACGCACGCAACGATGTTTGTATGTACCACGAAATAGTATCATGACAAATGCGTAATTGATGGTATTCGATAATTTCGTATTGACTCGCAATCATCCCTGTCATCTCATATTGACGGATAAACGCGAATTTGATCGAATGCCGCGCAAACCGACTTTCTATTGTGCCAATTTTAACATCGATCACACGTGACGACTACTATTGTTATTTCGTATCACGTGTATCTTCCGCGACTCACATTTATCGTCTCGCTGCAAGACCTATGCTTCAGTACGAGCAGTGTTGTGTCACGTTTTAAGTTACGCAAAACTTTTATTATAATTAGATTGAAAATAATCATTGCGTAATTAGCCTTTATCTCCGTTACCGTAAGGCTTAAATCAAACACGTTGATAGCAACTAATCGTGACTAAATTAGATCAAAAATGCTATATATATAATTTGCAATTAAATATTTTTTATTGTTTCTCGCGGAGAGTCGTAACATGACTTGTGTCACACATGCTCCTTAAGTCCTTTCGCGTATCTCGCGCGTAAATTCTGTATACTAAATGAACGAATATGTTTAACATTTACAAAATTGCATCCTATTACAAGGCGCGTACACACGCGTACACACGCGATTGAATAAAATACGCGCATGCTCACATTATGCACTTTGCATATTGCCGAAATGCACTAGATCAAGATTGATGCCGGTGAAACGTCCGAAACATTTTTCAGTATTATAGAACGCACAGCCGTATTGTTCTTCGAATTACAATGTTCCGGTTTCCGAGTAAATTTCTTTTTCCGCGGTGACAAATGTCTTGCGCGTTGCGGCAACGATGTAAATTTCAACATCTTGCACTACGATCCGTCAAGTACTAACGATGATCAATTTGACGCTAACATGCCGGCCGACACGCGCGATTAAGCTTCCGCAAAAGTTACTACCACCAGTCGCGACGAATTCGTGATATTAACGCATATCTTCGACATGCGTTTCGGGTCGTCGTCCCGTTTCTTTCTTTCTTTGCACTTTAGGCGGCCGGAGAAATTCACAGTTACGAATCGGCGATGACCTTTGAAACTGTTTCTTCCGGAGTAATTCCTGTGTACACAGGATAAATCCACTGACGCCGACCTAGTTTTCTCGTTGTCGGGCAAAGGAAAGTAGTTAACCGTCAAGTGGAAAAGTCCTATAGGTGTATTTAAGCCGAATTGCATTCCGCGAGCGTGTTTCAATGAAATTGCGATTTCTTTGAGGGAGCAGAAAAGAAATTGTTTTGTTTTCGCTTTTTCCCTCGGTCTCCCACTATATTTTTTTCGTTTGTCGGTGCGTTGACTAAAGAACGTCCACCCAGCTGCACAAGCCCGTTTCTCGCGATCAGTTTGTTACCGCGAGGGAACTTAACTACATCCTCGTGGAATATCGATATTATTCCACAACGATATCAGTAGGATAGAAATATATTGCGGCAAAGCGCGCTTTTAATATTACCATCATGAAGTCATGAAAGGGAGACATTTGCAGCGGATAAAATAATTTTCAAGTGCGCGTACGGTCGCCGGGAATGTAGCAATTGAAATGAAATAAGTGGCGACGGTTTCTCTGAAAGGCGAGTGATAAAAAGACCTCGAAGGCGTTAGTATTCGCAACAAATTTCACTTTTCGCCGGGTTAATGGGATATTTCTCAGCGCGAGGCGAGATAAGAAAGTGTTTCGAGTGGAAAATAGGGCGCGCCATTTTGACGGTCCAAAGCGATCAATTCAATCAAGCCGTTCTGTATGAATGAACGAGCAAAAATATCCTAAACAATAGCGGGATAATACCAAACAAAGTTTGTGCATTGTTACAGACACCGTGACGGCATCGTGACTTACGCTTCCAAGTTCTGAAGACGGGGAAATTCCTCGCTTGTCCCGGGCCATCGATGAGAGATCTCAACTTTGTTCGTTGTGTCGAAACGGTGGCGTTAAATTCAAAGCAGAAGGTTGCTGCTTTTACTCTCATTTAAAGCGTCTCACCTCTCTTTAAAACCAAAAAATGCGAAGAAAAATATTATATAAATACGTCTGTCTCTCCAAGTGTGCGCAGGCTTGAAAAGAGCGGATGGAATCGTTGGAAGAAAGTGTAATAACCATGTGATCGGTAGTGGGCCCGAACACTTTTCGTTATTGTGTGAAAGGCCAGAAATAGATCTCCCACATGTGCGTCTGAGTGCACGCTAATTAACGGTCCGCGTTTTCGCCGAGGAGGGTGCGTGTCTTTTGGGTCGTCCTAAATATCCGAAATAGGACACCTACGCGTGCGCTCAATGACGACGCGGTAGAGCGCGATTCCGTGACACAAGATACGCGCGATATAAACGTGTAAATAACAATATTCATTGTTATTGTTATTATCATTATTATTATTCTCTTAGTAACAAACGACCGTGTGCGGTTGCAAAGTAAAGAGCGACGACGATACAAAGCATTAATTGTATTAAATATTCGACTCACGACTATTCGTCATACGTTATATCAACGGTATCAATTTTTGGATGCGTGTAACGATATCGCGACAATTATTCCTGTTAAGATGAAACGGCGTTGGTCTTTGTCGTTATTTCTTTTCATCCGCAGAAATGCCACCAAAAGCGTCGCATCGCTATTAAGCATCGATTGCTTTTTCAATCGAGCTTTCGTCGCGCGCGCTTTTGTGCATGTGTCGTCGTTAAACTTTTCCCCGCCACATTATTCTAACTTACTTACCAGCAGGCATAATGCATTAAAGGGAATTTCAATTTGAATTTACAATTCAAATAAACCGAAATGCGTAAACTGCGCTTTGCAGAATGGAATTCGTTTTGACATTTTTATCGGTTGTTGTTGGATTACGATAACGTAGCGTGTATTACTAATGGAACATCACCTGCGATACATGAGCGTAACAATTACAACGTCCCAGTTGCACGGTCAGCAGCGCCAAAATTGCGTGGTGGTTTGGATCGCGCGCGTTCGTTAAATCTCTACCGAGTTTTTCACCGGAAGATTTATACGAATCGCGTACATTTCTTTCGGCGTATTCGAAATCTCCTAATATTTAATTCAATTCTCGCCTCGCGTCGCTTTCTTTCCCTTTTCCCACATTTTGTCCGCAAGTTCGCGCAACAGAGACTAGGTTGCAAGCACGTGTAATCTAGCGGTACATTGCAACACGAATAAAGTAGTAGCAGGAATTTCATGAAAAAATAATTCAATCGTGCTCAACACGTGGGAGTGAAGTACTCTCCCTCTTTTGATTTAATTAATTATTCTTAATTAAAAATTAACTCGTCACGATCGCAGAATCAGAAGGAGGGACGTCCGCCTCGAGATAGATCCTTGATCCGTCCTAATTAACAGGATCAACAAGATTAAGACCGTTTTTTAAGACAGGTCGTTCCACCAGTCGTTATCATCATTGAATGACAGTAATTAGCATTACAATGAAAAGCGAAACTTGACGCGCGATTGTCCGCGTATTCTCTGCATTAACTCTTATTTTCACATCGACACAAGACGCGGGAAAAAGATGCGTGTAATTTATGTATCGGTTCGCAAGGAGAAAAATGAAACTCGCGCGGACGTTAAAGAACTAATGAGTCATTTTAAGGGTAAACCGCGTCGCATTCCAAGGATGCCGAAGTACGCATCTCCATTTGTTTCATCCGATCGCGCAGGACATGATTAATTACTACGTTGTCCCGTTAGCACCGCCGCAGTATTTCGCGCGACTCATTATTCAGACATGACGAAAGTTGTTCGCGCACCGAAGCATCCTTGAAATTATCTGCGTGGCGGATGTTTTCAAATATTACGCTGCGGAGCGGTGTTGCACACGAGCGTTAATAAATCCTACTCTCCGCCCAGCCTGTCAAAAAGCTCTCTATTATTAAAAAGTACCGCGGATGTAGTAGATTCGTCGATCGCGATTCCAAGTGATGCTTATACGGTGCGTAAACGAGAGGCTTCGAAACAGCGTGATTCGATTAACGATTCGGTCGAGCCGATCGATACGATGGCAAACAGACGCGCGACTTTCGCAGCACAAGGCATCCTCCCACGCGATATCGCGTGCGGCACCTGTGATGGTCGGATATCAGATTCAGTTTAAGGAAAAAAGCGAACCGTTTAATTAAACCGGCCGTCCGGTATTACTTCCCTCCCGCCTCCGGGACGCAAATCCCGGGAGTGAAACGAAATTAATAGCGCGATGCGTAACCCGCTTTAATCGCGGACCGCTACGAACGACGCCTCTTTAATGCTTTTAACGCGCCGAGTTTAAAATCGGCTAATAAGCGAGTTCGTTAGCGCCTCGAATGGACGATTCTTCCCGCGATAGAAACCGGTACGTTCGCAGTACCGGTCGACCGGCTTAGCTCAGCCAGTCAGCTGCAAATGACCCGTAATCAGATCTCACGGTTTGCCGATGGCCGGCCGTATTTTTCCACGTCGAGGAAATTTCTCGGCGAGCGAGCGAGCTACTTCTTTTCGAGCACGTCTCCGATGAAATCTCGTTGGGGCGCGGATAATGAAATTACCAATTGGCAACGTTAATTCCACCGTCGTCGTCGCTTCGCAATACTCGCAGTAATCGGCAGGCGAAATTACGGACCGACTGTTCGTGTCGACCGACATATTCGAGTGTTACTCAACGCATCGTCGAGATCGAGTCTTGTTCTTCCAAAGCTCTCGCGAGTACCATCCTCTGCCGTTCTCGCAAAATTCCTGTCGGGCGCGATCACGGTAGGATACACCCGGCTGCGGGTTACTTTTTCGCGCTCTTATTTACATATCAAAGCGGCTAGAGATTCGCGCGGCCGCCAAGAATCGCGGCCAGGTGAAATTTCGGTGAAATTCCGAGCGCGTGCGAGAAAAGCGCAAGTGAAACGATCAGGCGATTTACTTCCGACGAGAATCTCCCACGGCGGGTCATGATCTCGAGATGGAATTCAGTTCGATGCACAGCCGTACTTTTTCCACTTATTCGAACGATGATCCTTCCCCGGTTGTGACGAAACGAGTCCTATTTCGAGCGGGCTCTTATCTGACCCTTATCGCCTGCGACTAAAAGTTTATAACTCGTTGCGTCCGAGAAAGAAAAATGACTGGACATAGATAAGGAGAAATTACTGCTATATATCATAAAGTCTTCCCAGGCAATAACACCTACCGCAAAGTTCACGAGATAACAGAATGCGAAGTTCGTTAGACGGACGTGGACGAGAATTATGCTGTAACGTGCGAACGAATCGTTACGTGTCGACAGTAATCACATAAAATCACGAGGCGTTCAGTCATATTGAATTCGATTGATCGTAAATCGTTTCCACAGAAGGAGGAGAGGGACATCGAGAAGAAAATTGACGCGATTATGACGCGAGTGTTAATCGTGCCGCAATCATCTGATTTACATTTACTCGCGTTTAACCTTTAACCCACCTTTATTGTTTTGCACACGGCTCGCTCGATCGGTCTTGGTTACGTAGTCATTAAGAGGAGTTAACAAGGATCTCGATATTCCGATCAACGCGCTCTCCTCTGCAATTAGGAAGTCAGAGTAATGTTCCCTGGTTTTTTGCATTCCCGCGCGAGGCGACGGACGACTTCTCGCGAGCAATTTTTTACACAAGGCTGCAATTAGCATCGCGAGAGAGCGATATTTCCGGCAACAGCGCGCAACGCTCTGCCGTTTAACAGCATCGCGCAAGAAGAATGACGTAGGTGCATAATCGCACCGGCCGACAGGACGAAATGTCTTCCTGAAGTCTACGCGCGACTCTAAGTGCAGAAACGTGTCATCTCGGTAATTGACACTCTCTCTCTATTTGGCTTTGTAACGTTTGCGCAATTATTTCCTCTATTCCTTCGCAGTGTGAGAAAAATGCGCGTAGCAACGAATAAATAGACATTGTTACGCGTTGGGGAGCGGCGGGCGAGACAGATATCTCCATCCTTTGCGTTGGAAGAAAGAGAGCGATTTGAATCGATCGCAGGCGAAAGCTTCAAATTGGAGTCTTGTATTCGCATAATTAATATGCATACGCGCGTATAAAGTAATCAAGTAATGAAGCGCGCGTTAACGTAAATGAGTGTCGTTAGAACGTAGCAGCATCCGTTATTGTCCTTTGAACGGCGATTGGTTCTCGGCAACTTCGTCTCGCGCGGCCAATTATAATTCGGGGCTTACAATTATCAACGTAGCGTTTTCGCACGTGACGCGAGAGGCTTTGCATCCTATATGATTGTTATCTCGCCGAGCGATCGGCATTGTGATCGCGCCGCACCGCAGATGCACCGCTATGTGCAACGCGATGCGCGCTCCTCTCGCTCGGCTCTTCAACTGCAGCGAACAGTCGGTCGACTGAATACGCGTAATTCCGGACGGCCGATTCGACGGAAATTGGACCAACAATTGCTCTCCTCGTAAAAGCGCGGCAATTCGCGACGATTATTGCTTCGTCGGTACGGCAACCCGATGGAGCGAATTTAGAGATCTCAGGCCCGCTTCCTGCGACTGGATGTAGAAAGTAGTCCGCAGATCTCAGTGAATACCTGGCTACGGACGAGGGAGGTAATCGGTTAGCAGAAATATCGGTGATACATCGCGCGGCTCGACGATGCAAATTGTCGGACGCCCTCGGCGCAACGTTACTTTACGCGAGGAAAGAACGTTTGTGGAAATCGTGCTCGTCAATTACCTCCAATCGACTCCTTCAATTACGGAAGGGAAAAACACCCAGTCCGTCGTAATTTTCCACACGACTCCCAACGAAACGTGCCACGATAAAGAGAGTTTGTTTCCAATGATGGAACGTCGATATTTAATGAACAAGTGCGCTCGATTTTCCTCCAGTTCTCGCGTTTAAAGTAATAAAGATAACGAGAAGGTTAACGGTATACGCGCGTATAATGTGAAAAATATAATAATCCGCTACGGTGTATGCTTACAGTCGATTCTGCGACTAAAACGCAAGAGGTAAACGCGCGTAACCTGTTGCACCCCGACCTCGCAAGAGACCTGCATGTACCCTGAAACTGTAAATTGTAAGTCGCAGATAAATTCTCTTTTTTTTCTATCGACGCGCTATAGAAGCGAATAGCCTCAATTTGCCAAACGACAAATCGTTCGTTACATGTTCCCTGTCGATTTAAAAGCACTGATTGCATCAGCCACATCGCGATTGTGAAAGGTTCGGACGATCTTAAGTTCCTAGAGTTGCGGAGTGCACACCGTGAGATTCCTTCGTGCGGTAAAGTCGTGTGCAGATATCTTAGCGCCGCGACATTCGACGGAGGAATGGGGGTCCGGAATGCACTTCCGCCTTCCAGTATTTTGCGATTCGAACGAGCGAGAGCCCGAAGAAAGGAGTGACGACTAATGAGTTTAGAGCGCCGGGCGGGGACGATCGAGGATCCTCGGCGCGGTCAACGGTAAGAACGCGATCTCTCCTCCTTCGTCTCGAGGAAGCCGGACGGACGAAAGTGTAACAGCGCGGATTTCCTGAGCCACGGCGGCAGTGCGACTACGGGAATCGGCAGAGTCGCTCCATCGTGAGAGGAGCGCTCTCTCGAGGTCACCGAGTCGACCGGTGTATTCGAGAAGATACAGGTGAGGATGTCGGCGAAAGGTGGAAGGAGCCGTCGCTTGGAGGGAAACGATGGACCGATAAGGATAGTCAGTACTTCGTCGATCTTCTCGTCGCTGAAACCGGCTACTTTTGCTGTGCGGGGAAATTCCAAGTAAACTGTTTGTAAAGGGAGGAAGGACCCTTTGGGAGGTTCCACACGAGCGGAAGATCTCGTACAAAAGCTCGGGATCGTCGAGAGTTAGCGATTCGTTCGTAGGACGTGTAATAACGCGCTGTGTAAATCCTGTGGACCCGATGGAAGTTTTTCCCCCAAGACGCCCGGTAGTCTCGTCAAGCCGTGAAAGCAACGCGCGAACGGGCACAAAGGACTAGTAACATTATTGAATCCCAGGTGGGATTTCAATGCGAGAGCTGTGTCGCGAGAAGGTAGGCACCCTTTGTGTCGTCGCGTCCAAGTCCAGGTGACTCGATCCGGCCGACAATGATTGGTCCACCAATGTTCAGTTCGGCACGAACGACAACTGATGAGAAGACATCGCGAGTAAAAGAAACACTGCGTGCGTGAAAGAGTGGCCGACGAGCTCTCCTCGCTCGGCTAGGTTATCGTCGTCGATCTTCCGAATCGGCTTTAATCAACGCAATGAGGCGCCGCGACGGAAACGTCGGAGTGGCCGGCGCGTAACAGGACGCGCCAACGCTTTCCCCGATGCGGCGACACGCGAGTGCCGTCACGCCGGTGGATGAACCGATTCGCAGGTGACAGATCTGCTTTCGCCGCGCCGTGAAAACGTGCTCGATGTGCCGGCAAAGGTCTGACATCGCACGTGGACGCGATCGATCGTCGTCTCGCCGGTGCGTCCTGTACGTCCTCCTGCTAGCCGGGACGTTGCTCAGTTGCGACGCAGGAGGTGAGAGAGAGAGAGAGAGAGAAAGAGCGCGGCCGGAACTGTTTGCTTTTCTTCGCGCAGCTAACCATGGGGGCATCCCGTTCGCTCAATACCGTATAATCAAATCCTGAGTGATATCGAAGAATCGGAAGAATTCACCCCGTCGAATCTCGCATTCATTGACAATCCGTCTGTAATATGCGATACAGTTGCGGATATTTCAATATACGTATGCCTGTGATTTTAATATAATATTACAGAGAATGATTTCTCCCCATATCGTCTGCGTAATGAAAGGCAAACGGTGACATTCATACGATTTGCCTTTTCTTCTTACACCGATCTTTGTCCGCCTTTTTTCATTCGAACTTCGTTTCATTAACACGCTGACTGCCACGGAACTTTTCACGATTCTGGTCTAAGAAGCCAATTTGATTTAATCAAGTAATGAAGCGACGAGATAACGAGATAGTTGGCGTCCTGGGCAAGTAAACAACCTACGAGATATCTCGTAGTTGGCAGTCAACGTGTTAATAACGTCCAAGAGTTATCGCGCATATATCCGTTACATATCAAAGCTGAAGATGAATCGTTTAAAATATAGACGCGAAATATTTCACGGATAACGCAGATAAAGTGTGCGACTCTTACTTATCTTTTTTTCTTCTTATTCTTATTGAGCGACGCGTAGCGGGTATTTTTAGTCGTGGGGATTCTCACAGTCACGTTATATTTTTACTTCGTGGTCGACGTGCGATATGCAATTACGCTGTGTACATAATTAGCCTCATCTCCGTGCGGAAAATCTCCATCTTTGCATCATTGTCTCGCGTTTCGTCGGCGACGGTGGCTTCTCATTGTCGCGCCGCTCTAAGCAGTCGAAATAATTTTGTTACAATGGATAACACACGAGCACGCACACCGCGTACCGAGGAAAGTCGCGTGTGTGCACAATGAAATATCATGTATACAAAGTAGCAAGTTGCATTCAATTACCTCGGTTCACATCAAGACTCTCTTATCGAGGTCGTGCGTCTCTAACCCCGCGGGATAACTGACAGACGGGGAAAATTGAAGCAGACAAAATTAATCTGCTTAATGACCTCTCGAAATTACTCATACGCAGTTGCCGGTTGAATAATCAAGGAGCGTGACTTTTGTTGCGTGATCCGAATTGTCTTGTCGTCTACCTTGTCCAAGAGAGAGAGAGAGAGAGGGACGCGCTCCCGCATTTTCCATGATGTCGATTCCTTCCTCGGCGTGCCTACGATTGTTTGACTGAATGTTATAATGTGGCCGACTCGCCGCGGTGTTTAACCGCACTTTATCCTCCACAAATTGAAGTATTTCTTCTCTTTTTTTCTTCCTCGGCAACCCAATATTCACGGTTGAATCGTGACGCTTCATCAATCAACGCCCACGTGGCGTCGTATTGCGCCAATAGCGAAAATGAACGTATCAGATTTTTAGCACCATGGAAACCGCGAAGGGCAAAGAGGAGAATTGCGTTCCGCGGATTATACGGACTACAGCGTTGGACTAATTAACGTTGCGGAGCATTATGACAGCCGGGAGTCGTTGATTGTTACTGTAGCCGTATTAAAGCCACGATTCGATCGCGCGTCGTTCCATCCCGCGATCTCAATTTAGTTGTCGTCGAGCAATTTCGCCTCCAGGAAGAGAGATAGGAAGCGATAGAGAGATAGATAGATAGAGAGAGAGAGAAAGAGAGAGAGAGACGATGGCGATAAAACGGTACATAATCTCCCCATTTTCCTATACGACATGCATCGACCACAACAAGTGTGTGTACAGTTATAGTAATTCGTTACAGCAACTTGGACCGCTACGATGCTTCCGCGCACGTGTCTCGCTAATTAGCTCGATCTAACGATATTTCCATCACAGCGGCGCAACTGTAAACTGTTGTCGTTGTATAACATAATAATGATACTACGTGGCGATCGATATAACGATCAGAAGATAGGAGGTTGAATTGTTAGCAAAAGTCGTGAAGGATACAAAAAAGTAGCGAGTTTTTATTCCAGTTTCGAATTGATTGACGATCGATATCGCACACTCTGCTGCAGTCCGCATAGTCGTTGCACGACGCACTTGGTGTAGTTTGCGTTTACCTGCTCGTTGCCTCTTCCCTTCTTAATTGTGAAATTTTTCGCTCAGTAAGGTAGACGAAACAGCGAAATTCCATTAAGCTAGAGGCAATTGCGGACTCGAACGGTATTACACGCATTGACAGAAATTTATACATCCTGATTACAGAGGTCCGTATTCAAACTGTAATTATAATTACGACGCCCATATCCGCGAATCTTGCATGTTGAAATTCATTAGAAAAAACTTACGTTTCTCAGAAGGATGATTTGCCAGGAAAAATTGCGTAAAATGCGCGATTTTTCTATTTTCCCGACAAAGATCCTTCACGACGACTGCACGATCGAGATGCACCTTATTTTCGTACCGAGGCACTCGTATACCGGAAACTCGCATTTTTCCATCATTTTTCGTGGGTTTTTTGAGAATTTTTTAAGCGTTTTCCGAGCGCTGCTAGACTCGGAACGAAACGAGAAAACGATCCCGTGGGACATAAAAATCGTTCCGAATAGGATCGGCTGTGCACAATAACAAAGAAAGGACGACGAACTGGGAGCGCTCGTTTTACAAAAGAGAACCCGCCGTTTTCGTTCTCGATGTATTTAATCCCCTCGACGTGGTAGCATTTCGCGCACGATAGATGCGATCCACCGCAGAGATATGCGTGACGTCCATTTAAATCAGGAAGAAAGAGAAAGAGATCTGCATATATCTGTTTCTTTTGACAAAATATGTGCAAAATTCGTCATGCTTTTATGTTATCCTCTCCCGATAGCCCAGCTTATTAACGTACAATCCAAAATACACATTTTTTCATTTATTTCATACTTTTATTCATCTATCTGGGAAGGTAAATAATCTTATTATTTTTAAAACAGTCGCACGATCTAACCCTTGGAACGTGTACACTGAAAGAAACCATTAATGGACGATACGTCCGCAAAAAATATACAGTCGTGTCGCCAGACATGGTGAAATAACGATCGAATAATTTATGATAAATACAAGCTTTCGGATAATAAATAGATAAATGTACACGTGCTTAATTTTATCGCGGTGAATGCCAGGGTTATTCGCTCGTGATAAAATTTGTCGAGGGTAAGTAAGTTAATATATATCTCAATAAGCGAAATCGGGAAATACGACCCGGCCGTTCCGTTGTGCGTGATTATTCGGCGTATAGACGCACGCTGCAATTTCCTCGCCACTTACGGAAGATCGTCGAGAAACCGTTGGAGTGGCCGCAAGTGGGATAAATGAGAGTAGTTTTACGCTAACCGGGTCTAGACCAAGGTGAAACAAGATTCCAGCCGGTTTGGAAAATCGCATCGAAAACACGCCGCGCGAGCTCGAGTACGCATCGAGTACGCGGCGACCTGAAAAGTACTTTCGGCCACGCGCGAAATTACGGAGGGAGTGTTCCCTTCGCGATATTAATCGCTCGCTCACTCCTCTCACGCGCGGAAAGTGTACCGCAGAGGGAGAGGGGGGGGGGGGGGTTCTTTTTNTTCAGGATAATCGCTTACCGTTACGGTCGCCGCCGAGATCCTAGTTGAATCTCGGAGGATAGAATTTAACGAGATATAAGTGTGCAAAATTACAGTACTAACTGTACATCGTGCCTCGTAGCTGTCGCGTAGCTCGATACAGCTTGATTTATTTTGCCAATCGGCATTCGTGGCACTTGCAGGTAACGGTACGCCAGATGTTTATAGGATACTCGGAGGTGCCAGAACGCGCCATGCGGATTACGATTATCCACATATGAATGACATTGAGGATGCAGGAAGACAGGGGGATCTTTATATCGGTCGCAGCGGCGATCCGTGGAGTGCCTCCTCAGCTAGCAATTACGAGAAAGATATTCTCCTCAGCGTACCGTCGTCGGCAAACGATACGAAGGTGCTAACTGTCGCGTAAGTACCGAGCGAAGATTGCGAGGGAAATTATTCTCACGTGCGAATTCACGATTAATCGTTTAATAACGACGAATCCTGCCGCCGCAATATAGAGTAAGTCAAATGAAAAATAAAAGAGAGAAAAATATCGAGTGAGAAAGGGAGGGAAGAAAAGGAAGAGAGAAAATAGAGACATTAGGTGAAGTTTATCGTCGAGTAAAGTCGAAACGAAGAAACAGAGAACGCGACCGCGCGCGAACGTCCAACTTTCGCGGCAACGTGATAAAACGCGCTATTTCAGAGATGGCCTCAAGGAGACGTCGACTCATGCGAGATTCAAGAGAGGGGTAATACATCTTTACAACATGGTAGTATGCGCCACAGGATGTAATCCCTTGGCCTACAAAGGATATGGTTGTTACTGCGGATTCCTGGGATCCGGCTACGTCATCGACGGTATCGATCAGTACGTTATTCGTTCGCGTAGAGGGTTACGTCATCATACGGGGCTACCAGTTATCGAATAACGTAGGTACCGCTGGATATCAATCTGTGAGAGAACGGAATGTTTCAGGTGCTGCAAGATGCACGATTGGTGTTACGACGCCACGGAATGCCCGATGTTCTCGGAGTACTTCGTGCCGTATTACTGGAGATGTTATCACGGTTACAAACCCGTTTGCGGTTCGTTTCTTACTTATCATTTTTTCCCTTGGGCGATTTTGTGAGAAATCTCCGGGTCATTAAAACAATTTTAATCCGGAGAGAGAGAGAGAGAGCGGGGTATCGTTATCTAAAATTATTTTCAAACTGAACAATTGTAGACAGCGCGATGGATAATCTACATATTCAACGCGTTTTGCACACGACAATGACGTAACGCGGAAGAAAAATTAAGATAAAATAATTCTCGAGATCGTGTTGTGTTGCAGCGGTTGAACACGGCGACTGGGGAGGATCTGGATCTTGCGCTCAACGCTTGTGCGAATGCGATCGGTCACTGGCCGAGTGCCTGAAGAAATATCCTTGCCCTACTACCAAAGCAGTCTGCACTTCGTCGCCTTGGAGACTCGTGCAGAATCTCTTCATGATCATTTAAATGTTCCACTTACCTCGAAAGCGAATGTTCAGGCGCGACAGATTCGTTTCATTCCGAAAATCTAGCGTATCCCGCTTTATATAAATATCACGGTCGTGAACGAACTCGTGGGCAGATAACGTGCTGCAATGCCAAAGAGAATGCTGACCAATCAGCGAGCGTTTTCCACGCACGAAACGAGTTGCGCTAGAACGATTATCATATTGTACTGCGATCGTTAAATTTATTTTTTTTTTGCCCCGTTACATGTATCCTTTATCTTTCTGAACTAATTGAATAAGCGTGTACAAGAATAAAAGAAATTGTATATTTCGCACAGCAGTAAATCCATATATTCGTACTGTGAATTAACTGAGAAGTTATGTACACTTAAGAACACACATACTGCGTTCAATCAGTTGGATAATCAATTTGCCTAATATTTACAGGGTATTTACACCTCCGGTTAAGTGTACCGTTCTATTCTTGTACTTTTTGGAAATATCTTGCTCTATCTGCAATTGAATGCGATATAAAATTAAATCACCAGATTTTAAAGAGCCGAATAATCTAAGAGCTATGAATGGGATGAACCTCCGCGCAACGTACCTCTGTTTGCAATTCTCTGGTTCTTTGCACAACGAGCTTCAATAGCGGCCGTAATTTATCAGTTTGATTCTGCGCGTCCTCCTGTTTCTGTCGCATGGATTCTTGTTGGGCCACCATTCTGCCGATCAGGTTCAATTTCTGCCTCAAACCGGTAACCACTACGTCTACGTACCTATAAGCGGGATAACATGTGAATGATAAAAATCTGCAGAAAAAAAGTATCGCGTATTCTTCTCGATCAATTTCTGTACCTCGGATAATGTTTGATGTTGTGTAAATGCTGAACGTCGTTGTGTAATATTTCAGAGAGAACAACTTGGATATTGTCGAGCATATTTTGAGTGCTCTCCGTGGTAGAGAGTTGCAGGATCGAAGAGGCATCCTGCATTTGACTGAAGCTTAGCAGATTTTTCTTGTCATCGCCTTTAAATTCGTACAGGCGTAATTTCATAAACGCTTCCAACTATAAGAATGCATGATTGATTCAAATGGGAATGTCGATGACACCGTAATGCACGCGTATTTGCCGTACCTCAAATAACTGATTGATAAAATCGACTCTAGTTACAGGATTGTCCAATATCGTGTACGCATCGCATCCTGTAGCCGCGCCACCTTCGTGACCAACCGCCTCGACAACGATGCCCGACTCCTCCAAAGAGATATTGTAATTTATTTCCTCCGTGGCGGGTTGCTCCAGACTTTCGTCCCCCCAATCGATATCACCTTCCGCCGGCTCCAAATTAACCTCTTCGCCAAAGTCAATCTCTCCATTCAGATCCAAATTACCAAAATCAATGGCCTGTCGGGAATGAATTCGAAGTGATAACGCAATGGCGCAAGTTCATCATGTAAAATGCTGAGAAAATTCTCAAAAATAATCGCACATTTGTATCCACACCAATTCCCCCGTCATTCTCGTCTTCATCCGCCTTAATATTTATCGCTGGCTCCACTATTGAGACTGGAGCTTCTCCGTAAGTATATTCATACGTCGTGGTATTTCCTTTCTCTGTAAAATTAATTCTTTTTATTACGATCTGTTATGTTTGTGTGTCTCTTTTTATTGGAGTGAACCCAAGAAACCCGCGTTACTACTTGTATATATTCCCCAAGTATAACGTTTGGCAACTCTTACCAATTACATATTTAATCATCGACACGCAATTGCTGTCGTATTGCCGGCCAAGAGTGAACTCGACAAACGCACTGTAAAACTCGACAACTTTGTCCAAGCATTTTGTCTTCGCCGCTACACTCCGGTAAATTTCCGGCAATTCTGCGACTTTCTCCATTAATTCTCTCCTAGCTGTGCTATAGCCATTTATACCTAATTGTTTACATAATGCATTATACTCTGTACGCGCCATGTTTTCCGATTTTTTATATTCCATTTCCTTCTTCTCAAAATCCTGGGAGAGAAATTTGAAAATCAAGTTTCATTATGCGTACAAACACATATATATAATGTCAGAGATGCTTATATTATATATCATGTGATAATATATATAAACTTGCAGTCAACGATTGCTCCAACTTCTGTATCTGTTTCTTAATACTGGGAACTTCATAATTCACATTTCTCATGAGCATTTGCGCAGCTTCAGCAAGATAAACATTATCTTTCTCATACAGTCGTAAAATCTCTTGCCAGTCTTTCATCCGTTGCGAGCCATACCGTCCAAATAAATTCTTTGTATCTGCTTCTGTTTCCTTCAAAATTTCCACAATCTTGACACAATAGAAATAGTTTATATCTGCAATATCAAGTAACTTTGTTATTGAAAAATAGATATATATAACTGCATATATGTAAAGATTAAAAGGCTAAGTTAGAAATCAACGCTAAATGTGAAACGCTACTTACAAGCACCAGATAACAACAAAGCAATGCCATCATGAGCAGGCATATCTTGTATCGCATTATTAATTTTCTCTCTTATAGTCAGGATGTTTGTATGCCAATCTTTCTTACAGTGTCTTCGATTGATCAACCAGTCCAATAATTTCCCAGTGTTGATGTCGATCGGAATGTCTTGTTCCTAAACGATTATCGGATAAATTCGATTTATTTAAAGGATTAAAAATATAAAGAATTAAATCATAAAACAACAATATAGCAAAATGTGATGTATGTACGTGCATACAATCGCATATCTATTATGTCCAACATTGAGAATTTTTTATGGTGAAACAATTATGCAATTCAAGCAACGCAACTATTTACCTGCATATTGTAAATCCGATAGATTCTTCTCACAAACAGACGCGATCGGAATCACGACAGGTTATAACAGCTGTTACTGTCTCACGTCAAAAGCCGTGTCAACGGGTTTATTCTTTTTAGTTGAACTTTGCGCACAAGTGCAAGAAATGTATCTGTAATATATTTATACATATTTTTTTATTATTAACACACATAAATAAAATATTCTAATATTAAGTATGAACATTTAACCTTATAATACATTTTCAAGTAATATAATTAAAATAGATATATATTTAATTAAAGTAGATAATAATTAAAAGAGTGAGTCCAATTTTATAAATGGACAAAATTCAATGGGCTGTAACTTTGGAAAAAATAATGATAATGAGGTGGTTCAAAAAGCACTTTACAGGACAAAGTCTTTAGTTTTCAGATACATTTATAACTATAAAGTTGAATTAATTTTTACAATGTTACATAAATATAAATGCAAAACCGTCAAGTGCTAAAATTGCTTACGAAGTTTGTCGAGTTGCGTCCCGTAAAAGAAAAATCATAAATAAATAGCAGGTATATCATTTGAAAGGTTGAACCTAACTTTTTAATTTGCGTCCTCGCGGATGGCGGTCCAATTTTTTCCATCGAGTTATTCAAACTTGAAGCAAAAATGGCATTTTGACTTTGATTGTTCACAGTAGACGAACGAATGAGCGCACAACGTTCGCGAAAGGTCTGTTCGTTTTCGCTCCACCACTGAACTAACGCAATAAGTTAAAGCGAGACAAGTATATGTTTTCTCACATCAACTTATCGCACTAGTTCTGCGGTGCAGCGAAAACGAACGGACCTTATGAAACAAATAAAAAGGATCAAGTTTTCTCTTTAATATGTATTTGTCAAATTTCACATAAAAATAAATCTTCAGTGTAGGTGTCAGTTTTAACTTAAAACTCGTTATTCAGAAATTATTACACTCGTTATTTTTGTAATGTTACTTTTAGTTTCAAAGTCTCCGCTACGAGTCGCTACTGTATTTAGCGAAAAATTGAGATCGTGGTACAGTACTTGCTTTGGCCAGCCATAGAAGAAGAAAGCATTTCTCAAGTAATATGACTCGATAGACGGTCAGCCGCACAATTCCTATATAATAAAACACAGGCCAAGTTCAACAAGCTGTAACTTCAACAAAAATAACGATAGCGAAATGATTCAAAGAGTATTTTGAAGTTTGAAGTCATTATTTTTTATTTATATTAAATGCATGTTATTATTGCTTGTTGCTGATATACATTAAATTAAATAAAAAATGGCAATCGTGCAATTTTCGACTTCACCTTTCAATCGAGTTTTTATACTAATGATTTACTTTTATGAAAAATTTGAAACAAATACATTTTCAAGAGAAAACTACCCATTTTGTTTATTTCTTAGCGAATGTCGTACGCTCATTCATTTGCCTACTGTGAATGATCAAATTCCAAATGCCAGTTTGGTTTTAACTTTGAATAACTCGGCAGAAGAAAATCGAATCGTAATCTGCGGGTGTGCAAATTAAAAGAGAAGATTCATGCTTCCAAATGGAATACATACGTATCACTTATCTGTGATTTTGTATTTACGAGGAGCAACTTGACAAATTTCACAAACAATTTTAGCATTTGGCGATTATGCATTTATACTCATGTAACATTGTAAAAATTAAAATTAAACTATAATTATAAATATATCTGAAAAGCTGGAGATTTTCTGCCGTAAAGTGCTTTTCAAACTACTTCTTTATCATTCAGTCCATTGAATTTTGTTCGTTTATAAAATTAAGGACTCACTCTTTCTTCTAATTAGCTACATATTTAATTATATTATTAAAAAAATATGTTACAAAATGTCCGTACGTAACATTAGAATACTTGCTTATACATTAAAATATATCGAGTTACATAAATATATTAATATAACCACATATGTATATCATACAAGCGAGAGATTAAAGCCCGAATTTCACCATTTTATCGCTTCAAACAGCCAGCTGGAATAAATAATAACTCGAAAATGCTTCAGTGCATATTATTGTACTAGAAGTTTTATTAATTTATTACAAATTCTCACTTTATATAAATCGAGAATGTTGCGAAACGTTCGGCAGTTGCTGCGAGAACGATTCTCAGGTCGACGGTAATACGAGATGTAATTAGCACGAGTAGCGGTTGAAGGTTACAATTTAAAAGCACAACTGCAAATGACTAATTATTTCGCCAACACTCGCCCCGTTTTCCTCATTGATGAATTGCGCTTATCACGTGCAACGCAGCAGAAAGCATCATACGTGGCATGTGCCACATACAAGGTGAAAACATGATGGGCTCGGTAATTACTATCTGTACATGCCGTACGACAGACTTTATCACTACGAGAGACGAACGAAGTGGTGAGTTCCGAGCGAAACGGAGAAATCGCTTAGTCGTATTAAATCGAAACAATGAGCAAAACCACTTTATTTAAGTAACGTCTACCTTGACTGATTGTTTAGATTTGGATAAATAACGGAAGCAACGCGACAAAAACGTCAGAGAACGGGGGGAGGGGGGGGGGAGGAAACAATCAGATCGCTCGGCAATACAACGTATAGGAGATTTTTCGGTACACACGAATATCGTTTAATTTATTATGATACACATTCACAAGTAAGAAGAACACGATGTCCGTGTTTTCAGTGTCCGTTTTACTGTCTCAAGTGCCAGTACATAAGTACAAACTTGAAAACGTCCGTCGAGCAGGGAGATGTAAGGCAAAGTCCTATCGCTTGCACTTCTTACCCTTTCGATCGCTCTGAGCTTTACGCAGGCATTTCCGATGTGTGAAATAGTCGTAGTCTCGGTATGAATCGAACGAGTCCGCCTTCTCAGCTCCTGCTTGTTGAGTTGCAAAGTTCTCCAAGCGTGATTCTCGCGTCGTCGAACCCGCCGGCTGAGAGTTCCACCGAGAGAATGCGACATGTTATATACCGGCAAGTGTCTTACGATGGCACTTCGACCGAGAATCGAAACGACGACGACGGTTACGGCACCGTAAGAACGGACGATCCACCGACCCACAGAGGATCGGATTGTCGATCGCGTAGCTCGATCGCAATCCAGTTCTTCCTTAGTTTCGCTTAGAATTACTTGGCGCGATTGCACTAGTAACTTTGTGAGGGGCTTCGATCCGTGAAGAAGTTTTTCAAGATGAACGTCTGTCCTACGGCGATAAACAGAATGCACACCGTCTCCATCACCGACCACCAGAGCACCCGTTCATTAAGTTCCTCCGCGCGCTTACGACCCTGCGCCTCGCGCAGTCGGTGATGCGTCTGATAATCCAAAATGCTGATCAGATTTTTATGCACTTCCTGTGCGGAAGACTCCATCTGTAAGCAGAATTCGTACGTTGGATGTCGTATTTTCTTGAAACCGCAGGCAAATTTTCTCACGCGAGAATAATCTCACCTGAGTCATGACTGTGACGTGTTCTCCGAGGCCCGGTAACGGCAGTTCATCGCCTACTTGGAAATCCATATAAACCAGCTTGTGCGAATATGTGGAGAATTCATTGCTGAAGCAGGCTTTATATACTCCTGACATGGCTGGTACAAACGAATGTGAATCAAATTGTGTCTTCACTTGTCTATAAATAATTTCCTTATTTGGTGCCTCCAATGTTACATCTACATCGTACTGGCCACCTGTAACCACCTAAAGTACAAAAAAAGAGGTATACTAATTACAATACAGATTTTACAAAGTTCACTCTATCTGCTGGTTTATACAAATTTATAAAACTGGATGGAACAATCTCGGTACTAGTCGAAATATTACCGCTTACCACGTACATTAGCACATATACAAAACCTACCTTCAACTTGTCTGACTTTGACTTAGATCGGTAGAACAGATTTGTATAGTGTTTGTCCATACTGGATACACAGTTTCAGCAAATATAAATATCTTTTTTTTTTTTATAACAAATGACGGAAGTGTAGAAAAGTGCAGCCGAAGCGAACAGATTTGCTTCGGCCACGCAAGCGAGTCGGCGTAGCGTATTGCGCCACGAAATTATCGCGCCGATGTATCGTGAAGTGTTGTTGTCGCGGCGCAAAAACGATCGTAGCGAAAACGCGGTGGGAGCCGGCAGGACGAACCTGAAATTCCAATGTGGACGAAACGTTCTTCTCAATCTCCTGGTAGAAGCACTCCTTGGCATTGTCAGCCAGTTCAAAGGTTAGCTCGACGCCGCCCGTGAGCAGGAGTGTGGCGAACAGCGAGACGAGCAACAGCCAAGTAGACCAGCAGTCCATTCTGACAGTCAGTCGGACGAGTCACTTTGTCACCGCGTGCATTTACAATCCCGAGCAAGAATCACCGATGACTGACCGCGTACACACCTCGTCTCTTCAGTGGCGATCACCTTCGATCCGGCGAAGGATTCTATCCAAACAAGCTATTTTAACGTGGCCGGATATCGGCGGCCCGACGTTACCCGCGCAGCTGCGGAAACGACTATAATCACGTCGCCGGCGGGCAAATTCGAACTGCGCGCGTCCCCACCATTGAATCGAACGATATCTGACCGATTCAACTACACTTTGTGCACTCGGAGAGAAACAGTCGTGCGTTCGAAAGAGAGGAATATCGAAAAAAGTTTACGCATTCTTGCCAGTGTCCTGTTATGCGTGTTTACGTTTGCGATATGTGCGGGATCCGCACATTCTAGTATTCTAGTATTTAATCCCTGATCTCTTTCGATTTTTCTGCAAGGGGAAAAGTACATAGGTTGTACAAATGTAAACAGATGTAACCTTACATATTGATATTCAAAGTTGAAAAATTTAACAAGAGTTATAAGTATCAGTTTGTTGTTTGAAAGCCAAAGTTGATTATTAAGACATTGTAATATAGAATTTCTATTCTAATTTGCGACTTTGCGATGCATAACAACGAGTACGTAAAGACAAGCCACAGTGATGACTTTGTTTCGCACCTAAGTAAAAAATCTAAAAAGTCCAAGGTAAAGAAAACCAGTAGAATGGAAAAGAAAAAGTATAAGAAAAAGCAGAAGTACTCTACATCGTCTTCAAGCAGTGTGAGTATGAAAAGCTCTTTAATTTCAATTCGTTATCATGAAGAAGAGAGTCTTATTTCTACCTGGGTCTTTTCTAACATCTCTGATAACCAATTTTAAGATAAACTCAAGCTTTGTTAACATCTATTGCTCTAAGTTAACACTATGTTATTGTTTGTTCCATTTTTTTAAAACAAAATGTAGAATAATACAATATATATAATAAATTCTTAATTCATAAAAGTATACTTAATGCATTTTAATTTTATTTACATTTCAGAGAAATTTTGTTTCTTATCATAATCATAAAAATTGTGCAATATATCTCATAGGAAAGCTCTGGCAGTGACACATTGGAATGGGTGGAGAAAACCAATGAAAACCAAATTTCTTCCTACACTACTGAAAATTCTGTTGATAGCAAAGCACAAGAAAAGCAGCCGGAAAGAGATGAATGGATGAACGTAGAAAGTTTTCTTCCGTGTACATCCAAGTCAGAAATGAAGAAACAAAAACCTGATATAAAAGAAAAGAGCAAAACACAGAACCTTCTGGATAAACCAGGTCAAAGTGACAAAGAATTAAATCCATACTGGAAGGATGGAGGTAATGGATTACCTCAAAATAGTTCAGGAAGATTTGATAATCAGTTGATTCCTGATGTAAACTGGCTAAAAAAGAGTCTTCGTCGCGCTGAGGAACAAGCTTTTAGAGATGGTAGAAGTCTAGAGGATGAAGCTGCAGAACGCTGGGGTGTAAGAAATAATTATTACAGTGTTATAGTAATTAATACAGAATATTGCTAAATCCATAAATATTTTTTTTTTATTCAGTCTCTGGAAACTATACAATCGATGATAGCAAAAGCGGAAAGAATGTCAAATTTTGAACAGGACAAATTCCACCATAAAAGATCGTACAATGACAGAAATAAGAAAAGTTCGTGGAGAACTTCCAGTTCAAGAAACTACTCGAGGTCTAGATCTAGGTCCAGATCTAGAAGCAGAGAGCGAACTGGGAAGTATAGCACACACTATTCGTCACAGAGCGCAAAGAAAAAGCGAGTGTATCAAAGACCAAATGAAAATGACGATTGTTATCAGCAAGTTGCATGCGCGTCTAGCAGCAGCCGTGTAAAAAATTGGAAAAGAAATAAAGATGATGATAGAAAATGTGAATCTGAATCATTCTCCTCTAGTTCAAAGGAAACCAATGCCGATAGAGTTAGTGATGCGAGCGAGGCGGTTAAAAGCGAAAATGCGGGTGTTTTGTCAGAAGCAGAGATGAACAAGCTGGGAGCAAGAATTATTAAAGCTGAAATAATGGGTGATGAGGTACATATGTTTTGATATTATTTGCTTCTCTTTTTATATTCTTTGATTTCACATTCGTTAGAATAATTTTATTCCTTTGTAGCAATTGGCAGCTCAACTTAAAGATCAGTTAGAACAAGCCAGGAAACTCTCTGCAACAAACAAGGCCGTTGCGCAAAAAGAAACTGTGATTCTTACAAGAACAGATGCAAAAGGTATGGGTTTTTTTTTTTTCAAAGACGAAATGATTTTCATGTCGTGACTATATGTGGACTTTTGTATTAGGTATCACAAGACCATGTCCACCTAGAAGTGGGACTACGGAAAGTCATGGAAAGAAGAGAATTGTGGAAACACATGTTTCCGGCGTAAGAATACACCATTTCGCGGACGATGACAAATATTCCTTACATGAAATGGTAAGTATAACCAAACAGATTGATATATATCTCGGAGAAGATCCAGTAACTTATTGTAAATTTCCATCCCAGTTTCAACGAGAGAAAGGAAGATCGGCAAATGAGGACGAAGCGATGTTCACTAAATTCGCTTCCAGGGTAAATTGATGGACCGAATTTTATGTTGCCAGCGACTTAAAGGAAAGTTTTCTACTTAAATTCTCCTTTTACAGGGTACAGATCACATGGACGATATATTCGAGCGAGAAATCACACGATCGGATTTGGAAGCGAAGGATGATAAGCGCGACCGTATGCGTGCGATTAAGGAGCACAAGGATCTATCCAAACGTCTGGATAACTGTTGGTTGTGCCCCGACTCAAAGAATATGTTAAAACACATGGTTGTTACGATGGATTCCATGATTTGCTTGAGCCTACCTGCTCGTGCTTCCTTGACTACTGGTCATTGTATATTGACGCCTGTACAACATATAGCGTGTCAATTGCAATTGGACGAAGACGTGTGGGACAGACTCAAGGTAATTGTTCATTGCCATATTTAAAAATAAAATCTCCGGCAAGATGACAGTTGAGCTTACAAAATTTCTCGATCTCGGAATGCTTCCAAATTTTAAGCCTTCCATTAATGAAAACCACAAAGAAATAGACACTGAGCTTTTTGCTTCGACAAATACAGAGCTCACCTTATCAGAGGACCAACTATTAATCCTACTCAAATTATAATTTTATAGGAATTGAAGAGAAAATTAACGACAATATTCACGAGCGAAGATTTGTATCCGGTATTTTTTGAAGTATATAAAAAGCGACGCAGATTTTCGCACATGCAATTGGAATGTGTCCCGTTACCTACAGACATTGGTGAATCAGCACCGATGTATTTTAAGGTAAGCACACATGTCACCTTATCGTAATATATCTATACGTAATGAATAAGGTGAAATCCATTTGGAAGCGAATTCTAAAAACATGTGACATTATTGAAACTTTAATACAAATATTACCGCAGAATCAATAATGAGTTTACGTATGATGCGTCTGTGTACATTTTTCGGCGTTCTTTTTGCAGAAAGCATTGTTGGAATGTGAAACCGAATGGTCTATGAACAAGAAAGTTATTGATTTAAAGAGTAAAGATGTACGGCATGCAGTCCCAAATGGTCTGTCGTACTTCGTGGTAGAGTTTGCTTCGCATCCTGGTTACGCTCATGTGATCGAGGACGAGGAAATGTTTCCTAAGAATTTCGCCGAGGTGAGACGCACATACACACAAAGAATTATTTCCACTCGCAAAAATGTTTTAGTTTTTCATATGAATATGAATTAACATGTGTAATCATACTTTTTTTTTTTAATTGTAGGAGATAATAGGTGGAATGTTGGATTTAGATTGCAATTTATGGCGGAGACCAAAAAAACAAAGTTTCGATGAGCAAAGAGTAAAAGTGTTGGAATTTACAAAAATGTGGAAAAAATATAATTTTTCGCAAGGAGATAACGCTACTTGAACTTGTATAAACTTGTATAGGATCTAATCTGGAGATGCTCTATATATATCTTTAATATTTAAATAAAAGAGACACACACACACACTTAATAATTTAATTTAATTTTTATTAGTTCATTTCAATGAGAGTCTGCTTTACCTCTTGGCTTCACCTCATCTTCCCCGAATCCTACTACTGGCCATTTTGTTAAATGGTCCTTTAAAATAAATGGAAAAAGAGACAATACCTTGAAACAACTTCCCATTTTATCTTCGTCGGTTATCATGTGATATCCTGACTCAATTTGTTGCTTTTGAGCGCTGGTAGCGTTTTGTAACAGCATTTTTAACCGTAAATCAATGCCAAGACTTTTCAAAAATCTTTTTTGCGTCACTGGACCAAACGTGATTAATCTATTATCTTTCTGTGCGATCTCTTTCATTGATAAGAAGTCAACATCAGCAGTCAGATCTGCAGTTCCAGGCTTCAACAAAGGATCGTGCAATTTATGCCGAGAAAATGCACGAAACGTATCACTCTTTTCTCTCTCATGACCATAATCAATAACTAGCGCAAATCCTCCACATTCCCATAAAAATTGAGACATGTAGTCCATTATAACAAAACACTGTGGACTTATCTCCACATGATCTCTTCTTTCATTCGGCTGGAAAATATCGCTTTTATATATAATCATATATCTAATTTTATCGTTTATAAAATGTAAATTCATGATAATGTAAGATCGAATGCTTACAGACAAGTATACTTTGCAAGCGGCTGTAACTGTTTGTGAAAGCACGTATCGAAATTTCTCCTCGTTTGTTTCTTGTACTATATCTATTAAGATCTCCCTCCAACCTTTATCAGTTTTCTGAAATCAAAATGTTGCAATTCACATGACATTTCTGCATCTTACATATTAATATCCTGTTCTTGATACCTGAAACTTGTGTATTGGCAAAGCATCAAAAAACTCGTGTGCAACGAATATGCTAAACTTTCTAGGGACGTCGTTGACAGAATAATACCAATATATCTTTACTCCTCCATTTTTTGTAACACCCTCTCTATAATGCATTACAGATGAAGTTTCCTTTTTACTAGCTGTTGGTCCGTTGTCTCTACTTTCTGTACATAATCTTTCTGCTTGAAGCTGGGATAGCGCAGGGCTAATTTCAACCAGATGAACCGATACTTTATCCAAAAGATTAAACTTCTTGAACACCTGGAATATATAGTTCTTAAAATTTTACACTTATACGATTGAAATTTAGAAAAATAAGAATATACCCGTAATATATCACTGATTAGGGTGCCTCTTCCTGGACCTAATTCCACAAGTTGAATAGGTCCATTGCTAATTTTTCTCCATTCATTGATCATCCAGATCGCTATGATCTATCAATAACAATTAACATAGTCTCTTTTTGTGTAATAATTTCTCTCTAATGCTTTATGAGAAAATAATCACAGATGAAATAAACCCGATGATAAAGATTACATACTTCTCCAAAAAGTTGGCTGATTTCTGGAGAAGTTGTGAAATCTCCTTTCTGACCGAAAACATCTCTAGTCATGTAATAGCCTGCAATAGGATGAATCAAGATCTCCTTCATGTATTCTGCAAGTGTTATGGGGCCGCATGCCAATATTTTTGCGTATAGTTGTCGATACAGGTCCGACTTTTTACTGTCTGTACTGTTCCCTGAGTATAACCTCTTAAATACAGTTTTGTCTCCAAAATATCCCATTTTTGTATCCACCGTTCGAAGAATATTAACACATCTTTCGAGTGTACGAGATATTTTAATCATGTTGCGTTGCAAAATCCTGTGACTTTTAAACGTTTAAATTACGGATAATAAACTACTTATTATTTAAACTATTATTACTACTATTACATTTAATATTGCTTCTTACCGATTGGCATATCGTCGGTACGACAGATAACTTAACCTCTATCAACTTTTTGCTCAAAACTCTCGGAATTTTCTCTACGCGCAGAAACGAATCAACTGTGAATATATATAAATATTTCTTTTATTACAATTAAAACGCAAATAGGGGAATACAGAGTTTGAAAAGTATGGTGAGCGGTTGGAAATCGACGTGTTCCTTCTCTCATTGGTATCCAATATTCAGAGATGATACCTTGAAGGCTACGATACTTCACGTTCCCAGTGATATTTTGAAGTACTTGGAACACGACAAGTTTGTACTGCCGCTCGAGACGATGAGATTATCATTGCCAAAAAATTCAGAATGGAGCGATGGCTCACCGGTAACCAGTGAGGGTGAGGTATTTGTTGATTCTCTTCATTGAAAGAATAATCCACGCACGGGCGGGCTAAAATTAAACAGACTGAAGAAACTACAAGGATCTGTTTATAAACATCGCAGGAGACGGACTATCAACCGACATTCCCCAACTTCAGTCAGAAAATACAAGATGTTCTGGATGAATATAAAGCAATATTTATCAAGGGCAATTGGAGTTCACCTATGGTAAATATTTTTTAATAATGTATTATTACGTTGCAGTAGATTCAGTCATTTTTAGAAAAACATTCTACCCAAATCTATTCCTTTTGGCAAATATAACGAATAACACATAACATACAATTATATAAAAGTCATTAATAATATTTTATAAAATAAGTTAATATGTCTTTATGCATATTTTCCACGTGTTGTAACTGTAGATAAAAAATTGTTCCAATCTGATTATCTTTGTGTGTCTTACTATATTGAGCTGTATTCATTAACAATTGTGGCTCAGCAGAGATTATTTGTATCAAATTGAGTCGAATGTACTTTGTAATGTATTCACATATAGCCATCTTATAGGATGCAGTGTGGATCGTTCCGACAAGAACTCTCAAATGTAAGACATTGGAAGAAGTCTATCTACTACTAAAGAGTTCCGATAGAATTGCCAAAGACTTGAAAAATGCAAGATCTCTACAGGATCACAAGAGTCCTTTATCATTTTGCTTGGTGTTGAAGGAATGGCAGGATATCAACCCTTGCACAGAATTCCGCTGCTTTGTCATGGACAACGAGCTCATTGGTAATTTATCACAACTTTTCGCAATTTCTTTCATCAACTATTAAATTTTATTCAATATCAACTGCTCTTGCGCATCTCTGCCTTGTTGTTACAAAGTCAACTTTTGCAATAACAAATTGTATCTTATGCAGCTATAAGTCAAAGAGACATATCGCAGTACCACAAGTCCTATGAGTCAGAAAAATATAGTATACAGACAGACATCAAGAGTTTTTTTTCGGAGCGCATCAGAAGCAGATTTCCGCTGCGTAACTGTGAGTAGCGTTCTACCAAGGTTCAATAACAATATCCGAATTGTCTCATTCTTTTACGAGCGATTATCATCGTACGTATATTCATCGCCCATAGAATCATTTTCTCTTGCAGATTCCTTCGACGTCATTCGATTTAAGAAAGATCACGTGAAAATAGTGGATTTCGGTCCGATGGACGAAACGTCGACAAAGGGAACGCTTTTCACGTACGAGGAGTTACAAGAACGTACGAACGATATTTCGCCGGAGTTTCGATTCATCGGAGAGAAAATGGGCATTCAACCGAAGCTTTCCACGCACTTTTGCATTCCGCAAGAGATCGGCGAGTTTTTCCGGTCGGGCGACAACGCCTCGTTGTTGGATATCATTCAGAGAGTACGTCTTTCAATCGATTGAGGAATATGCATGCGACACTTGGCGACTTACTTTAATATTATCTTAGACTCGTGTTAACGCTTAATTAATGTTTTCATTCATCTTAAATTGCAGGAAGTGGAAAATCAACGGAAAGAGGCCGAAGACGCTTCGGAAAGTACCTGATGTGTATGCAGCGGTGAGAGAAAGGTTTCTCAACGTACGTATGAGTAGCACAGCCGAGGCTTCCTCACGCACGCGTATACGACAAATTAAACGAGGGAGTGTAAATTATCGCGTCGACGCACGACTGCGTTATCCACTCCGAGAGAAATTGATGTTTACAAGAGCAATGAGCTAATAAATATTGGTTAGCACAACGAATTGCATTCTATATATGCTCCTTTATATGATATTACAGTTCATCTCTTCGTTATAGAACTTACATTCTGTGATCAAAATCAAATGTAACGGCGATGTAAGGATCGATCGAACTTGTTCAAACTACTTTTACTCGCGATAAATTATTAGAGATTCTCAACTCGATATTCTTCACTCTCTCTCTCTCTCTCTCTCTCTCTCTCTCTCTCTCTCTGTATATATATATATCAAGTCTTAAATTTAAGAAGAGAAATTTACCTGTTACCTCCAGGAATATCGCAAACTTTCGTCGAAAGATTCGAGCCAATGGATAATGTTGTGTGTTGTGCGCGTGTGTATATGTATGCGTCGTGTCGTGTGAATGAATGTACACCGACAGAATGTTTAAATACAGAACTTTCACTTTTATTCTGCCAGACCCTTTTTCTATCATTACATTACATAAAACGATTAAAGGCTATCCTACCGCTTGAAAGAATTATCATAATATTGCAGTATTTTTCGAGCCATCGACCTTTACCGAGCGACGTCCCTTATATAGAAAATATGTCTTGTTTATGTACAATATGCAATCCTTAATACTTCAGTTTTTTGAAAAAGGATCTTCGATATATGTATCTCCGGACAAGTTAATACGTACTGTACAGTCATATCCACGGAGAGTATTTTCATCTTTCTTTTTCTCTCTTTCTTGCCCTTCTCTTTCTCTCTCCTTTTTTCTCTCACACATACACACATACACGCGACACTCTCTCCGTTTTACTTTCTCTCCCTTTCATTCACATCTCGTTTCTCAATTTCCACAGAAATAAATCCATAGGATCGGTCAGCTACTGCTGTGTGCGATTTTATAACTTTTGACTGGACCACAATTCTTGAAAACCGATCCTGTCCCCGCAAAACGATCCTGCAGCTTCTCGCATCGCGTTTCGGATTCTGCATGTACAATATAGTCAAGGATTAAAGACGAGAAATGCAAAATTAAAAGAGAACATTTTTCTAAAAAATCCCTCGTAAAAGAAAGCTTGGAAAGCCTTATGCGTGTGTATATATATATATATATATATACATATATATACACACACACAGCATACAGCATATCTATTAAAAAAATATAGTAACTTTTATAAATTAAATATTAGCAATCGTGCATAGATATTGTTTACATCATACGTGGATGTATAGTTATACCTTGATAAAACCACAGAATCACGAAATTATAAAATCAGAACCAGAAAGAAAAATACATCTCTTTGGCTACCGCTTAAAAAAAATATATATATATATAAAGTGATCCTTTACGAACATTATAAAATGATTCTCTATTTTCTTCTCTGACATTGTGTATTGAAAATAATTGTAGAAATGTAACGATCTTAAGTACCGACGAGTGTTTCTTTATGTTTTACATAACAAAATCACGTATCTCAAGCATATTCTACAATAAAGTAAAACAAAGACTTCCAAAACTACAGTTAATTCTATGTTGCATATTTTTGTATGTATATCTAATTTTACTCCTGAACGTTTAACAAAACGAAAGGCTGAATGTTGACCGTGCAATAACTCAGTTTGACAGCTTGATAAAACGAACACAAAAGAGAAAAGGAAACATATTCGAGATAAGTACAATATGTAGTACGATGATGAAAGTTGCAAAGTCGCTTCGCGAAATGAAACCCTATTTTCCATTGTCTGCGAGCAAAATACATCTCGTCGCTCCCTCGTTATTTGGAAAGCTCTTCCACGTCAGTCGCGGTTGTAATTTGTGCATCAGTTCCTCGTTCAATGTACACGCAAATACCATGGTTGAATGGGTTTTACATAGAAGGTACCAAACGCCATCAAACCCAAGTCTGAGAAATAAGAAACGTTACGAGCGATCGAGTGATTTCTCTGAAGAAACGTGCGCGTGCGATACTATTCTGCGAGAGCAATCACTCAGCATAGAGCCGTTCTCAAAACTATCAATTAAAGTTGATTAATCTCTTCCACCCTCTCTTCTCACATAGAAGAATTAGAAGAAGGTAGATGCAATGAGAGTTGAATTTTTTTTATAACTTTATTTTAACCGGTTTTCTTCCAATTGCTTAACAAACCAATCGTTGGATTTGGAATTCTCCACTGTAGCCCGCATAATATTAAGTATAAATAAATAATAACAGTTTTAATATGGCATATTAGTCATATCAATTAATAATTTCTACTATTGATTATTATTAATTATATGGGTATGCGTGAGATATAATTACAATATTATAAATGTACAGTTGAACGGATGTGTAAAAGTACGAGAACGGCTAATCGTCTTTTTTTTTCTTTTCTACGTTCCCCTAGATTCTCTGTTTTTCACACATTCTAAGATAATAGCAGTCAGTATAAGCATCTGCGGAAAGTGACGAAACGTTGTGACGTTCGTCGTCGATGAACGAGACCGGGGCTCAACTATTGGCGCTTGGTTCCCTTTACATAAAAACCTTCAAATTTCTCAACAAATTCCGGGAGGTGTTCCTTCTCGAGATCGCAAGGGCGCTCACTCAGCGCGTCACGTCCTCGAGAGAGACACTTGGTACAATTTTCTTACAGTGTATATGTATAGAGCGGAGTATGTACCAATCTAGTAGAAATGTTTTCTCTCCGCATTTATCGCTTCGTTTTTTTCCCCTTCCACTCCATTAATTATTCGTTATGTACACAGGAGCGCGCTTCTTCGGAGATCACTGTACCACCGGTCTTCATCTGTCCGTATGTTCAATCAATTTTTCTCTCAGGATCGTATATATAACGCCGTTATTCATCTCGTCCTCGTTCTCCGCTCACTTTTTACGCTCAGATTATGCGCCTCAACTGATTTGTGCTAAACGACAATACGTAGTTTAATGAATGTACGTTTTGCAGGTGTACGGCCGTTCGCTCGTCCGAGAATCTCTCTCTCTCCCTTCTTCGTCTCTCACATTCTTCCCGTTCTTTGCTCATTCGCACATGTATTTGCGCGCATTTACAATCGCTCGCTCGTCGCTCTTATTACACGTCGCTCGTCTTAATGATACTAAAGTGACGCACAATACTCGCATTATTTTTTTCTTTTTTCGCGCGTTTCCTTTCACTCATTTCTTCACTCGCACTCTCTCGCTCTTTCTCTCGAATACTGGTAGGGTGTTGAGTGACAAAAACAGTGTAGTCTTAACAAACATATGATACAAAAATTCTTAAGTTATCGCTTAACGGCCAGTGTAAAGCGGATTGTTTATTTTATCATCTTCTTTCCTCTCTTTCTCTCTCTTTAAGTACCTGAAGAAACTAGCTTTGGAAAATCTCGCCACAATCCTCGAAATCAAAGATCGAGACCGGTGAAATCGCAATGAGGTGAAGCATCACGATGCGCTCCGGACGCGCAAAGACGATGTCTTTGTTCATCGGTGACAATCGTAAAAAGCCGCAGAATTACCCTCTTTTAGCGTGTCCTCGGTAAATCGCAAACCGGTAAAAACCACCAAGCAACGGTGGCGTTACATCAATGTTGCAATCTTCCACTCAACAATGTAACTGTTACAAACGACCCGAGTCGCATTATTGAGCGGGAGACGATGACATTGATGTAACGTTCGTCGCGATTACACCGGCATCAATTCTCGCTTTAAATCCGATTCTGTGCATTTCCTCTTTTCTGTCTCTTTTTTTTCTCCGCTCCGTCGCTTCCTTCCTCGAGTCCGCCTTGGATTTGCCTTACAACGACGAAGACTACATACCCCTCTATGATAAATGCGATTGGTACGACTAAATTGGGTGGCGAAAGGCCAGACTATCACCGACGAATCGAGTGTGGCACGCGCGTGCCGTCCGTCCACGGACACGCGCGCGCGAGCTAGAAGCTATCTCTCTCCCCAACACGTTCCATTCAAAAAATACGCATATCTCTATTTGGTGCGAGACATTCGCTCGAAATTTTATACACGCGGAGACGACGACGACAGCACAACGTCTCTCCGTCTATCTTTTCCTGTCTCTCTCTTTCACATACACGCACGCACTCACACACGCATGCATACACATACATACGCGCAATCTTTCCTCTCTTCACTTTCTAATATACAGGAAGATAGAATTCGCCTCTTTACTTCTTTTCTTAGCGTGGGAATAAATAGACTGAACTTGGGGCAGTCTCGCTGACCGCCTTTCGCTTTATACAAATGGCTCAAGTGGAAACGCGCGATTCCCTATTTCTTTCTTCAAGGGACATACGTCCCTCACGATGAAACGAAGAAAAATATTCGAGGATTTCGCGGAAGAAAGCGCACCATAAATCGGAGAATCGGTCTACGGGAAGAAAAACGTGCGTTTGACACAGACACACACACACACACATGCGCGCAGAGACACCCAGAGATCGATTCGTCGGATCGAAATGACGACGTCAAATAGATAGATCTTTTTCTGCTTAATAACATTGAAGTCGTTAGACAAAAGATTCGCACACGCGAATTCTTTCTCCGTAGACCGCTTCGGTATTTCGCGCTTCAAACTCTTTCTTGGCGTGGAAATAAATAAAATGGGATAATACAAACTCCCTCTTTTCCCTAAACGCATACAAAGTGGAAATGCAACTTTATCGGGATCTTCTTGCCCGCAATAAAACGAGATCGAGGAAGAAAACGCGAGTAATATAAACGAAGCGCCGAGCAACGAAGTGGGACGCAATGCTGTGCGCGACGCGCGAGCGATTGTGAATTCGTCGTTCGAAAGTTCATCGGATAAAGATTTCCAAGCTTTTATTTGCAAAATGTAATCGAGAGAAATATGCGCGGGTTAAACTAGAAAGATTAAGCGCACGAGGTAGATACCTTCTTGCTTGTCTGTTCCAATCGAATGGGGAACCGGAAAAAAAACGTGATTCGTGACAATTTTCACACTCTCGCATTGCTATCGCGAAGTGATTGTGCGTGTTTATGTGTATGTGTATGTGTATCACATATGTTCGCGGAAAAAAAAATTATATATATAACCATGCTACTCAGCGTTGGCGTACGTGCAGAATATGTAAACCATCACGCGGTAACACAAAACAAATTAAAAGAAAAAAAAAACGAAAAATCGAAAAAAGAATAAAATAAAAAAAAACCATCGCTCATTGTGTGTTCGCCCATTCATTGAACCGTCCGTTTATACAAAATGATATGATTCGTATCCAAGCCGGCGAGTATCGCGGCACCCTTAAACAATTTGACTCTTCGTCGTTCTGTGCTCCCCCCTGCTGTATCTAAAAATATTCTACCACAAAATAGCGTAATGACTCGCGTCTAGATGACCGTATGATCTTCCGTTTCGCGACTGATCTTTAAGCTCACACTAAATCAGAGAAAGAAGCTTTTACATTGGTTTTCTCTTAGTGTCTGGTTGTGACCTGCATCAAATATATAATAATAATAATAATAATAATAGTAATAATAATAATCATCATATAGAATATCGATCTGGCAAAATCTATTTACATCTAGATAAAGAATTAAAAGGATCACCTAAACATCTCGAATTTTTACTGGAATTCCCCGGAAATTAAGAAAACAAAATGAAAAAGAGAGATCCACAGAGCTATTAGAGAGAGATTGGTTTAATTATAGTTTACATATTCTATACGTATATAATGTATGCTACTCACCCGCACCACATCGATTTATTACGCGTTTCCGTCAAACACACATCTACTCGAAAGAGCCTTTGGTTCATATCACGTAACGACACTATTCACAGGAACGTTACATCTCGGTTATTTGAAGCTACGATTTTTTTTAAATCCTTGCAACATCGAAAGAGAACAGAAAAAGGGAGAAAGAATAAAACGACGAGTTTTTCTACATATGTATATATGTATATATATATATATATATATGTATGTATATATGTATATTGCGTCGGGGCAAAATTTGTGGAATGGATATCAGCTTTTAACGACGACGACGACGACAACGACGACGACGACGGCAACGAAACTAATTGAATGAATTCCCGCGTAGCTCCCGCGCAGCCTATCCCGTTCGCGAGACTTTACAAGAGTTACAGATTTCGAGTTAATCCACACAAGTTAAGATCGCAGCCATTCTCACATGTCACCACAACAGCATACGGAAATACGATATAAACCTGTCATCCTTGAGAAACCAAGTGAAGCATTTTTGTACTAAAGTGCAGCGATATATAATATTATGTATACTTTTTAATGAATTATACCTACGTAATGTACAATTGTGATTTTTTTTACACGCACCATGACAAGGTATGGTCGGGCCGTACAACAGACAGCTTGTTAGAATGATTTGTAGAACGTTATTGCGACATCTTCTTCATCTCTCTTTGTTATTATACTTCGTATTTGAGTCGTGCATATATTTATTTTTACTTTATTATTATTATTATTATTACATTACTATATTATTATTATTATTATTATTATTATTATTATTCAATTAATCCCGTATCTCAAGCGCCGTTTAAGAGCAGAGCGCCGAAAGTTTGTAGCGCGACAATTTCTCCTCCTTTTCTCCTTTCCCTCCCTCTCTCCCCCCCTCTCTCTCCCTCTCTCTCTCTCTATCAAGTTAAAGTTATACAGATGCACAGGTAAGCATTACACGAAAGGCAAAGACGATGTATTCCAAAGAAACTGCACGCACCCTCTCTCTCTCTCTCTCTCTCTCTCTCTCTTCAACTATATCCTATAATTTTTCTCGGAGAGACTCTAGTATTATTTGTCTATTCAGTCTGGCCACACCGTGTTACAACGTGGAATAGCTTCATTCCGTCATGATAGAGACATACTGTATAGGTTTGAATTATATAAATTCAGGCTCTTTTAGTCTGTGCGAGGGTTCTATCAACGATCTCTCGTTACGATTTCGCTTATTATTTCACTTAATGCTTTGTTCAACACCGGTCCGCTGCCTGTTTCTCTCGTCGCAGAGCTTGACTTGACTAGATTGCGTCGCTAAACGGTCCTTAACGATTTAAATCTAAGTCTGCCATTCATAAATGATCTCTATATCTTACATCTAATATAGTAGTAATTAACATCTAATGGTAGAGAAGGATGATCCGCTACTGTTATCGACGCGAGAATTCTAATTAAATCGTACCGCCCATCATCTCTCTGTCTCCTCCCTTGCAAACACGCACGCACGCACACAACGCAAGTATACGCACAACAACGTAAATTGAATTCATCGTTGAATTAAAACGCGCACCTCTCGACTGAACCTACGCAGCAGCGGTCAAATGTTTTCGGCGGAACTAAGCCGCGTCTATTGCGCGCGCGTTTCTAATATTTACAGTCAGCCATCGTCGCGGCTTCGGCAAAAAATCCGTTACCGTCCGAAGCGTATTCCTCTCGGTCGAAGACAAGGACGACGCGCCGTCTTGATTTTTCGCCTTCCCTTCGCTTCGGATCGAACGGGGGACGAGGCGCCGCCGACAGTAGTGATATAGCGACAAGACGTTGCTGCGGTGCGAACGCTCGATCTACGCTAGGACTACCTCTTCTTCACGGACTGCTTCAACAACAGCCGTCTCTTCAGCTTCGGCTGATCCGACTTGACCGTGGTGGTGGTGATGGTGGTGGTGGTGATGGTGGTGGAGGTAGTGGCGGTGGTGGTAGCGGCGGTAGCAGCCTTCTTCTTCGGGCGCTCGGGCGAGCCGTTGCAGCAGGCGCAACCCTTCTTCACGTGGCCGCGCAGACTGGACCGCCTGGCGCGGCAGTCGGTCGAGAGGACGATGTTGCTCGTCTCGTCCTCGGAGGCCTCCGACGTCTTGTCGCTCGACACCACCATCGACTCGGCGGCCTTCCGCTTCGTCGGCACCGTCGCCTTGTTGCCCCGGTTCAGCAGCATCCTCGCTGCGTTCTGCACGTTCTTGTCCTTCTTCTTCGTATAGGTGCAGCGCCGGTCGAGGGACTTGAAGGTCGGCGGCGCGCTGTCCTCCAGGCCGTTGCTCAGAACGCTGTCCTCCGGCTGGCTGGCGATCGACTCGCTGACGCTCGAGTCCTCGTCGTCGCTGCTCGACCTCGTGCGCTCCGACATCGGGCTCTCCCACGCCATGTAACCCATGCTCCGCACCTTCGACGACGCCAGGCGCTTCTTGTTGGCGTACGTGTACTTGTTGTGCGTGGAGAGCAGCGGGCCGGCGTTCGTCGACAATGGCGACAAGGGCGACGGTATGGTGACGTCCGCGGTGTTGGCGCTCAGCAGCGTGAGACTCTCGTCGCCGGAGCTCGCCGCCGAGATGTTGTTGACGTTGATGCTGGGCGGCAACGACTCCGAGTCGAGGTCGATGTCGAGCTTCATGTTAGACGGGATGCTGGACACGCTACTGGGCGTGCCCTCCTTCGAGCCGCGCCTCGAGATCAGCTTGACGCGGTGGCTCGTCGCGTCCTTCGACGAGTCGTTCTCGAGGTGCGCTGGCGACAGCCGGGACATGTCCGAGTTGCTGTTGGACGCCTCGTCTTGGCTCAGGTTGTCCAGCGCGAGTCGCATGTGCTTCGTCGGCTTCTCCGCCGCTTTCAGCTTGCTCTTCTTCATCGGGTCCATTATTCTCGCGCGTTTACTCGCGCTCTTCTTGCGCTCCTTCATCTTGCTGAAGTCGCCGATCGGACTGGCGTCCCGACTGCCGCTCGACGAGTCGAGCGCGCGGTTGTACAAGCTGTTGTACGGCTTCATGCCCAGCTGTTGGCTGCAGGTCGCGTCCTGCGAGGAATGATCGTACGACGGCGAGTGGTTCGTGTCGAACAGCAGGTCCGCCTCGGGGAACAAGTCGCTGGTGCTCGGCTCGTCGACGCCCAGGTCCTCGCACTCCTCCGACAAGCTCTTCTGCAGCTTCAGCTCGTACGTCGCCGCGGCCTTCCTCTCGATCCTATGCTGCATCAAGTCGATCCTCGACATGTCCAGCCTCGGCATGTCGAGCCTCGGCATATCGAGCCTCGGCATGTCGAGTCTCGGCTTCATCATACTGCTCTTGTTGCTGTACGGCTCCAGTGTGTGATTCATAAAGTACTTCTTCGTGTTGGACTGATAGGTCTGCCCGCTCGCCATCTCAATGCTGTGCCCCTTGTTGATGATTTGCAACACGCTCTGTACGTTCTCCGTGTCGCTGTCCCTGGAATTAGGGATGGGTATTCGATTTCTCTCGTTCTTTCTTACGATCCAACGTCACCGTGGAATTATTTCTAACAACTAATGTCGAAACGAGTTCTTTCTTTCTTTCTGCGTCGTTAAATCTGACCGTACGGTCTCCCGAAGTGTCTAGGGAGCCAGGCAAAATCGCGAAAAAACAAATAGAAAACAATTGCAAACACCACCGGTGGGCCATGTCGAAGACTGTCTTTTCACAGCTATTACAAGTTGCAGAGATAGATAAGAACTTTGGGGCCTTGCGACGTTAACCTTTTCAGGGATAGTAAACGCATCCCGGCAAACGTCAACCAACAGTAACATGTTAATTTCTCGGACAAATGTTGTCGACGAAAATAAAACAAACATTGCCGTGAATAAATATTCACACAATAAATATTCACATAAATATTCACAAAATTCCATGCGATAAGGCAAAGATAAATCTTGCTTTATGACTGATAGAGAGAGAGAGAGAGAGATGTGCCATATTATTATTTCCCTGAAGATTAAATCGGTCATTTCTTTCCAATCACACGACTCATCATCCCTGAAGAGATTAACATTCCAAGAGAGATTCGACATTTTCATAATATGCTCGAAATGAATGATATACGCTTGCGTGAAGGCAATCGCAGCTACCTGGAATATACTTTCAACGAATCGTTGCTCAACGTGTTCATCGACGTGGGAACATATCTCCACGGCGTGTCCGGTGACACCTTCCCCTCCGGCTCCCAGGCTTCCTGCAAGCGCGCGTTTCCGTACAGCAGCCCGTTGCCGACCTTGCACGACCTATCGATCGTCTCGGTGGACTGTTGCACCGGTGATTCCTGGCTGTCCGAACTGCTCGGGCCGCCAGTCACCAAAAATGTGTTGTCGATAACGGCCGGCTGTTTGCTCGTCGAAGTAATCGGAGACACGGAATCTACGAGAAGAATAACGGACGAGGAATTAGTTGACGGCGAGTAGTCGGTCGATGTCGCAATATCCGCGATAAATGATATTTACGGTATTTACGTAGCGTGTAATCTACTCTAAAGTAACGTATACAAAATTTTCCATAAGATTCAATCGTCAATAAATGGTTGATTTTAACTGAAAACGGGGCAAAGTGCCGAGAACGAGATTAATTTGTATTCAGAAACACATTATTTCATAGTCTCACTGTTATTTGTACTGTTACTTGCACTGCTTGTGTTCGTTGTTTATCGGATGTTTAAAAGCTGCTCTTTTATCTCGACGACTGTTGCAACACATCCAATGGGGAAATGTATCTCCCGAGGATGACTGAAAAATGAATTCTCCTATCGAGTGCAAGATGCGTTGCGAAACTTCGTCGAGGTAAAAAGAACGACCACTAAGCATCCGCGAGTGTGAGCACTTGGACCCGTTTTTATTTCACATCTGCAACTATAATGATAACAAAAATCAACGATCTAGAAACAAACACAGCAATAGCGGTAATAATAATGGAGATAATAACAATAATGACAAATAAATAATCAAGGGGGGGGGGGGAAAGAGTCACTCCTCCTACGTGTAAGGTGCGATCGACTAATGACGACAACGAAAACAACAGGCAGTTGTAGCTGGCACACACACACAGTGTAGGTACAAAGAATGTGCAAAACCGAATGATGAACGGCCGTGTGAAAGACGCAAAACATTTTCCACTACGTGTGTCGTGAGCCCTTACCAATTTTCGTATTATTTTGTAACGACGTGGCAATGTTCGTGGGGATCAAAGTTCTCGGCGCACTTTCCTGCATACCAATACTGTCCTCGAGTTTTCTCTTTACCGTTTTCGGGGAAACGATTTTGTTGGCGGACGTGATCTCGGTGGACGTCTCCTTTGTGTCTTTGTGTTGCTGCTGACCGTCGTTCAGAATGGCATTGACGTCGGTCTGCGAGCCGAAAGAGAGCGCCGCGATGGTGCCGGCCGTAGATTGCACAGACATCGATTTCTCCGTGTGAATCTGACCGTCCTGAGGCGACTTCTTTTCCGGCGAGGCTATGGCGGTGCTAGCCGGCGCGATGCACACCACGTTGTCCGCCTTTAGGGTGGCGGGCGTCGACAGTTTGTGTATGTTCGAGTTGAACAGCCTCGTGCTCTGCAGATTCGGATTGCTGGTGATGACGCCACATATCTGCTGGTTGTCCGCGATCTCGTTGATGCTTCGGGAAACGAGACTGATGGTGGGACTGCTCTTGTTCACCACGATGGTGGCGGAGTTTGTCGCCGAGTCGACCGACATCCCGCCGGTGCTGCTGACCACAGTGTCATTCTTCAATAGTATGTCACTGATGATAGTGGGCTTCTCTGACGACGACGACGACGACGGCGGCGGCGGTGGCGGCGGCGGCGGCGCCGCCACCGTCGTCGTCGTCGTCGTCGTCGTCGTCGTCGTCTCGAACTGCGCGCTTCCGGACTGCGAAATCACCACGGAGGCGGCCTGCGCGCTCAGCGCCTGGCTGTTCGACAGAGTCTGCAGAGTGGGCGGCAGTTTCATCTGTTTGACCTGGGCCTGCGGGGTGATCAGCTTGGTGCCCTGATTGAGGAAGGACTGCAGCACCAAGGCGTTCGACATGGTGGCGTTGCTGCCCGCGGTGGCGCGCACCGTCGTCGGCATCGCCACCAGCTTGGTGGAACCGGACACCACGGTGAACTGTTGAGTGCCCTTCATCAGCGGCAGCAGGAGATTCGTCGGCATCAGCACCGCCGCGCCGGCCATCTTGCCCGTGACGGAAGCCAGGGCCTCGCTGACGCTGACCGAGCCGGTCTGCAGCGCCTCCTGCACGATCACCGTGCGCGGCTGGCCCGAGCCCGGCTCCGCGAAGATAAGGTTCCGCCGCTTCACGTTCAGCTCGACGCCGTCGTTCGAGTCGCTCGTCCGCACCTCCGCCGCGGCCTCCGCGACGCTGACCGGCGGTTCCTCCGGCGCGGAGAAGCTGGCCGGGCTGTCCTGCACGTGGAGGATGCCGCTCGAGGAGTCCTCGCTGCCCATGGTTCTGCCGAGGTCGTCCGTGCTCGGGCTCAGCTCCGACGACGTCTGCTGACCCACCGGCTTGTTCTTGTTCGAGTTGGACTTCTTCCGCTTGGACGTCTGGCTCGGGTTGGTCGGCGGGTTGGACCTTCTCCTGGGCGCCGGCTTGTTGTTCAGGTCGGGCGAGTTCCTCAGTTGCTCCGCGTACTCGTCGAGGATCGCGTAGATCCGCTGGGCGGTCTGCTCGTCCTCCTGCGGCTTCTGCTGCGGCTTCGGTATCGGCGACGCCTTGGAGGTGTTGTTGGTGGTGTTGGTCTTCACCGTCTTCGGCGTCGACTTCTTCACGTTCTTCACGGCGGCCGAGGAGGGCGGCGTCGGTGGCGTTTTGCCGGCCGAGGGGATAGGCGCCGGTGCCGGGGTCACGCACGGGCTCGACGAGCTCTGCGAGGTGACGCTCAGCGCGGGCGACGCCGCCGGTTGACAATAGCTGGTGACTACGACCACCGGTGTGGTCGTGGAGTTGGCCGCCGCCAGCTTGACGGTCGAGCCGCCGCTCGGATTCGCGTAGGCCAGGGAGACTTTCGGCGAGAACACGGATTCTTGCTGGAATGTGCCGCCGTTGCTGGAGAAGTCATTGTTGCCGCTAGGCGACTGCGCCGGCATCATCAGCTGCTGCGCCAACGCGCTCACGGCCATCTGCTGTTTCGTCGTCTGAGCGCTCTGCTGCGCGGTGGTCTGCGTCTGCACGGTCGTCGTGGTTGTGACGACCGGTGGTTGCTGCTGGTGGATCGGCTGAATACTCCTCTCCTTCACCTGCTCCAGCACACTCTCGAACTCTCGCAGTTGCTCGAGAGTCGTCGAGCTCACCTGGTTGTTCACCTCCATCGCGGAACCGATCAGATTGTCCGCTGCTCGGACAGGCTGCTGCTGTTGCAATCTCGGCGCCAACACAGCCTGGATGGTGGTTCCCGCGAGATTCTGCTGCCTCAACGGTGCGCGAATGATGTTCAGTTTGACCACCGGGGTTCTGCCGGACGGTATCGAGTTGGCGTGCGATATCGCCGGTATGATGTTGAACTGGTTAGGATTGTTACCGGCGGCGATCACCTTGTGCGTGTATATGACGCCCTGCGAGCTGGCGTTCTGCACGAGTTGCGTGAGCGCCTGATTGGCGGCGTTCGGGCTGGCGTTCGCGCTGTTGTTCTGCACGATGTTGAGTATCGGTCCGCCACTCGGCAGCTGCAAATTCGAGATATTGGCGGCGGAAATGGACTGTACGTTGACAGAGCCGGTCTGCTGCTGACTGCTGGACGTCTGCACCGCCTTGGAGAGATTCGCCGTCTTCTGCGCGGTGGTCGTCTGCTGGACGCTCAGTTGCGTCTCCGTCGCCGTGTCCGTCGACAGACCGGTGTAGATGGTCTTGCGAAAGGCCTGCTGAAACTTGGGCAGAACGGCGTTCTGGCCGGTCTTGACGGCGCCGCTCAGCGTCGTCCGGTGGTCGTAGGCGTTCCTGTTGGACGCCGCCGCCGGTTGTTGCCGCGCGGCAAAGCCCGCGTCGTCTAGGCTCTGCAACGCTAAGAGGTTTCTCTGATTCGACACGAGGTTCGGATTGAGGGCGGTGATCTGGTAACTGCCGTCCGGCTTGCAGATGACCTTGACCGACTCTGACGAGCTGGTGACGGACGTCACCACTCCCAGAGCGGTCGTCGTGGTCGTTGTCGTCATAGTCGTCGTCGCGATAGTCGCGGCGGTGCCCGGTGAGGAGGGTGACGACTTTTTCGGCGATTGCTGACTGGCGCGCCGGATCGCGCGCGGATTCGACGGCTCGGCGGCGTCGGTGAGATGGTGCGCCGAGGAGGAAGACGCGTTGTTAGGAGTCGACACGTCCGGCGGCTGATTGGCCTCCTCGCCGACGTCCGGCAGATGCGACGACCTCGGCGGCGGCGTCTGGCCGGCCGGGCTCATACCGACGCCGCTGTCGTGACCGCCGGAGGACGGCGTGCCCGGTAGCTGTATGCTGCTGCTGCTGCTGCTGCTGCTGCTGCTGCTGCTACCGGCCACGCTGGGAGTGCGCGTCGGTCGTGGCGGCGTGTTGCCGCTGTTGATAGCCGCAGCCGCCGCCGCCGCCGCCGAGCTCGGGCTCTGCGGTACACTCCTGGACAGCTGCACAATGTTCACCGTAGGACGCATCCTCGGCGGCACCATCATGTCCAACGAATTCAAACCCGGCACGTTCTTAGCCAATATATCGGAATCCCTAACGGCCTGCGCGAGAATATCAAACTTGGTCTTACCCAAGTTGGACTTGACGAGATGATGGTCGCGCCGGCCGTCCACCACCACCGGGCAGCCCAGGTCGTTCTTGCCGCTGGCGTTGTTGCTGCTCTTGCCGGTCGTTTGTTTCTGATACGTCGTCATTACGCTCTTGTTATACGGCATCGTCTTCTGTATGTTGATGAGTTCGCTGGTGATGTCGCCGCTGCTCAGCCGCTGTGGCGGCTTCTTGGCGCGCTTGCCGACCTCGTCGGCGCGCGTCAGCACGATCTTCGGGTTCAGATTGAGCGTGCTGAGCATCGGCGCGAATTTCACGGCCGCCTGCTGCTGCTGGTGGTGGTGCTCGTCGTTGTCCTTGCTCTTGTTCATCAGGTTCTTCTGCTGCAGCAGCTGCGCGATCCGCGGCGGTTTCTTCGAGTTCTGCGGCCTGAACATCCGCAGGGACTTGAGGACCGCCGGGTCGCTCCGCCTCTCGGTGATGATCAACGGCGCCGCGGCGGTGTAGGCCGAGCCCTTGATCGTCTCGCGCTTGTTCTCGTCCATGTCCGCGGAGAAGAGGGTGATGATGTCGTTGCTGCTGACGTCGGACCCGCTGGCGTCCTCGTGGGCGCTGGTGCGCCGCGCGTCCTCGTTCACCAGCATGTGAAAATGCGACATGGACTCGACGGTGAGCTTGGACGACTTGGGCCGCTTCTTCGCGGACTCCTTGCCGGGCTTGTTGGGCTTCTTCTTGGTCTCGAGCCGGCAGCCGTCGCTGCCGAGGCTGTCGGTCTGGCTGTCCTGCGTGTTGCTGTCGCTGTCCGACACCGAGCTGATCCTATTCCTAAGGTGCTTTGGCTTGCGCTCGGCGCTGTCGCAGTCGCTCTCGGACGACTCCAGTCGCAGGACCTTGCGAGCCCGGCCGGTGCGTCGCACGCGCAATATACTGCCGCTGTCGGAGTCCGTGGTGTCGTCTATACTGCGCCGCGTCGACGAGCGTTTGTAGCCGCCGGCCGGCTGGAAGCTGCCGAATTGCTCGGAATTGTCGGACGGCGGGTCCACCCACTGCTCGTAGCCCTTCTCGATGCCGAAAAACATGTCCTTCGTGTCTTCCTCCAACGGCCAGTCTTTGAACTGCGAGTAGTCGATGTTCAGGTACTTGAGCTCCTTGTTCGTGTAGCGCATCTCCTCCGCGTTGTCCAGATAACGCTCGCACAGGCCCTTCAGTTCCTTCCAGTCCAGCACCCAGCTGAGCATGTGGTAGCGCGGACTGCTCAGCACCACGGCCAGATCGTCGCACAGCTGTCGCGACAGGCCGAGCGTTTCGCCGTCCAATACCTGACTGGGCGCGGACGTCTCGTCGTAGTTGGCCGAGCCGGTCACCGCGTCGCCTTTTATCAGTATCAGTGCGTCCAACGTTCTCTCCACGTTACCGCCGCCGCCCTCGCCGTCGCCGTCAACGCCGCCGTCCACCGGCGTTGACATGTTCCGCTCTTGGCCGAACTCACCGCAGATCTCGCTGAGTTCTCGCGGCCCGTCGCACCTCGGATGCAACGGACACCTTTCTATTGCCGGGGCCTCGGGCATTCGTTTCGACAGCAAGCTCTTCAACAGCTCATCCGTGTGCTCGAACGTCACCTGACCGCTTTGGAAGTCCTCCTCCGTCGTGCTGATGCTCGAATCCTGCGACGGTTGTTGAACTTCCGTTGAGCCCGAGAATGTCTGCCTGTCGTCGTCCATCGACTGCTTCTTCAACGCGGCGGAGAGACTTTCCTCTACTACCATCTTTTTCTTCATCTGCGCTTCCTCGAAAGCGGTGATATGCGAAACGCCATTCTTCTTCACTTTCCCGCACGCCACTGCAAATTCCTTTATTCTGTCGTAACAGGTTCTGGTAGGGTGCAAGGAGAAAGCCGTCAGAACGCACTCCCTCGCGATGCCGATATTGCTGTCAACTACGTCTGCCAATTTGAGAAATTGCGTGCTCAGACGTTTCGCGGTCTCGCGCACTTTGTCCTTGTCCGACTTCGCCTTTTGATTCTCCAACTCGTTCATGTCCGCCGTCAACGCTCTGATGTAAAGTTCGACCACTAAAGGTTTTATACTGTCGCCAAACTGTAATTACAAAAAAAAAAAAAGATCGACCTCTTCATACATTGTATTGTGATTCTCACATCGGTAGTTTGTTATTTCTGATACACAATTAATACTTCTAATCAGATGTAACAGCGACATTAAGATTGCCAATTATACATGTAATCAAACATTAATTATTTTAATAATAATAAAGATGAGAAAAAAAAATTATATATATATATATATACCTTAAATTTGCTAAATATTTGACCCTTTAAATATATCTACTTACATGTTTTACAAGTACTGCACAGAAGATATAAATATGTTGAGCACTCTCCGCGGGTTCGATTAATTTTCTAATCATGCCGGCTAAAGTAGGCGCGACGTCTTTCAATTTTGCATGGAGCAACGCCCAAGAGTTCAAGATCTGTTCCAAAATATTCGCTCCAGTTTCCGATACTGGTCGAACCATCCCAGCAGTAACGAGATATTGTGCCACCAATTCCGCGGCCTTTATCGAATTTCTCCAAACGCGCGCCGTTCCATATTTCGTTGGCTTCTCACCGCTGAGCCTCTGGACCAATTCAAGACCGTCATTGAGATCCATTAATTTTAACTGCAACAAAGCGAAGTTGTTGAATTCCAGCACGGTGACTCGCACGCGTGTGACATGCCGTCAGTCGCGACGGCAAAATCTATCTTTCGAGACTGTCGCGATTTTGCTTGCTTAAGGGTGGCTCTCTCCAAACTCCGATTAATCTAATTGATGATTAATTTGCCAACAGCAATTCCAGCAAACTGTCATTTACTTTTTCATGCTGACAATGTCCAGCTATGTCGGCTGAGTAAATCGTCGTTAGCTTGACTAAAATTTGAAGAAAAACCCCTTAAAAGGCTGAATGTTATATGTTAACCATTTAAGCGCGCTCATGTGTCGACGAGTATGCGTCAGCGGTTAATTTTACTAAAATCGCTACCAAGTCAAAGTGTTATGAATGTTCTTTGAGTTTCGTGACTGTATTAGCCTTCTCTCTCAAGTTTTTGATAAACAAATGACATGACTCAAGATAATCTGGTGTTTTTGATAAGAATACTCTCCTCTTAGAGAATCGAGCGAGTCATATAATTCTGTTTCTCCTAGTGATTCATCAATACTTTCAAAATATCATTGTTATTTTATCGAATTCTTTCATGGTTCGACAAACAAACTTAACGATATACTTAACAACATACTCCATGTGAGCATAATCTTTTACCACGATTTTTTAGAGTCACCTTATGAGACATTTTAGATTTAAGCGAATATTAATGAGCACACCACTATGCGAATATTAATGAGTACACTACTAATTAGTATAGCTCGTATGCTATATAATGGGTATTCTCGTATAAATAAATAAACATCGATACGGAAGCTGTAATGTGACGTTCACATGTCGATACTTACTTGAGCGAAAATATCTTGCGTGCGTTTCAATTTGTACAAGAGGACAATGTACACGTCGATCATATAGTGAACGTGATAAGACTCCGAGAGCGACCGCAGCTGATCGCTTCGTCTGAGGGAGCGTACGCACGCAGCGGCGAGGCGCACCGCTATGTCCTCGCAGCGGTCCTCGCAGAGTATCTTCAGTCTCATGGTCAGCAGTTCACCTTTCTCCGAACAACAGAATTCTGAAAGCACATTCAATGCCTCAGCGTCCGGTTTTCCTAATTTTCATTATCTTCGTAAATGTCCCAGACGTCCAACGACGCAAGCTCGAGATTTCTTAATGTTTATAAAGTAAAATACATGATATTTAATGGTCTAATTATATAGTTAATCGGAAGCTAAAGTGTATAAGAACGTATTGTTAACACGTAAAAAATGTGAAACATTTTTGAATTATTTCACAAATAAAAATTTTGAAGTGCACGGATAAACCAATATCAGGATGAACTAAAATATTTGCCCCTTCCTCCTCCCCCCGATTGCTAAATTTCCCCGACCAAATATCCGAACATGATTATCACGGAAATAAAATTACTTATCGATTATTTACAACGATTCTATAGCAATAATTTTGATAATTTATTTATACATATAAACTACATACTTGACATAACTTTATTATAATTTTTTAATTGGCTCGCGCAACTGATAGCTGTCGAATTTTGTAACAAGAGATTACAAGGGCTGATACGACTTTGTCATAATGCACAATTGTACACACAAACCGGTATAAGTGACTGAGTTACAGAATTAATATTATAATCAAAATAGAATTATAGAAATACTTGGTCTCATCTTACCCTCCTCATGTTCGGAATCCGGTTGGCCGTTAAGTATGCTGTCGAGGACAGGATGCGTCCATGGGTTGTGCACCAGCGCTAACAAGGCGGTACACCTGGGTACAACGGGGTGTTGCGCTAAGTGAGACACACACTTCTGCAACGTCACGCAGAGGTGCGTTTTGGTAACGGGTGCCAACTTGGGCCACTCCCCGCGCAATACCAGTGTCAACGTATGTCTGTGCAACAACAAAGAAGGACAACGTGAACGAATGCATCGCGAGGGGCACGCGTGTTTGTCCGGACAACTTGTTTTCGCGAGCATCCTGTGTTTGCAATCACGACGGCTATTGCGCCTCCGCATTGAAGATCCGACATTCAAAGAAGGGAGCTTCCCTCGAAATTTCACGGAAGACTTCGAACAAGAGAACTTGAAAATTCCGCGTTACTTAAGCTTAATTTTTAACGCTTGACTTAGACCAATCCTTTCAGGGTCGAATTGATTACACATTCAAAGAAAAATATATGGTCGTGACAACTAGAAAAGTGACAATTATACACGAGTATTATATGTAAAATTAATGCCTACAGTTTAACAAACTATTTTATAGTCATTGCAATTGAATCATGTAACGTAGCATAAACTATAATTGTCGAGAATTATAGTTATCACGTAACTAGATTTAGTTGCAATCACTATAAAATAAAATAGTTTATTAAATACTATAAGCATTAATCCCGCACACAAAATTCGTATAGCTGTCATTTATCTTATTATATTTTTTCCGAGTGTCTGAAATTAGGAGAAAAAATTTAACTTTAAACATAATATATTTGCGATATTTGTTAATCATGTGACGAGATTTCTCTTATGCGGGATTTTGTGGTGAATATTTATTCACAATAACGTTCGTTATATTTGATTGACAATGTTCGAATTGGAGAGAAAAAATTGAACGTATTTAAACATATGTGTCAATACTCCCGAAGAGGTTAATCAATAAGCAAAAGTTACTTGTTTACGTGTATCTTTTGGACTCACCGAGAATAACATCACGCGACTCGTTAATTAGATGTCGGTAAAAAAAAAAAAAAAAAAAAAAAAANGAATGATATTCTGGTGCGCACCCTTTTCGTATCACCCCATGTACAAGGTCCCTCGGTTGTATACCCGTCACGTTAACGTGAATTTGCGTCGCATTGCTATTCAAAATTCCAGGATCGTTTGTATGACGGCGCTACGTACGTGCAGATTCATTACTCTCAACGCCGTCAGTCCCCCCTCCCCCCGCACACACACCCACTAACCCTCTTCCTCTCACTCTCTCTTACCCCTTCTGGCTTTTTCTACCTCCCGTCACGTTCATCCGCCGTAGAACGACGCTGTTACATCGAAACTCGTTTCGCGCTACCTTTGTACCAAAAAAAAAGTCTCACCTAGCAGTGGGAGAGACAAAAACGCTCGGGTATGTATACAGCACGCTAAATGGGTCATATGCATGCGGAAATACCTTCCTAATGCGAAGTGACGACAGACGCAGAACAATAAATATAATTTGGACGACAAATGTATATAATCGCGAACGGCTGTTTTGAAAGCGAAGCTTATCGAGTTACTCAATGGATGAATAACGATATGATTTTATCAAATCGGTCCAAATGTTCGGTTCGATTTTCAGTAAACGACGCATGTAATACTAGTAACAAAGCTGACAACATTCCGCTGTCAGTAAGTCGGCGAAAAATCGCAGACGACGATCGCTGGCTCGATAAATAATTTACTTCCAACGAATGCAATAAAATTGAGTTTTCCTCAAAAATCGAACCGAACTTACTGATGCAATGTTTCTTCTTTTCAAAAAAAAAAAGTGGATAATTTTACTTAATGTTAGAACTCTCTTACAAACCATTGATAGTTTAATACGTTCAATGTGACGCGATATTGGATAGTTCCGAGATTTACCGACATGTTATTTTAAAAGCGGTGCCAACTACGACGAGATGCCCCTTGCGAGATTTCGTGAGAGGGAGAGGAACAGAGAGAATGAGACGAGTTTTCTTTTTGATCGGGGGTTGGTTACATAATCGCGGCTGCCAGGGCGGGTCGCGTACTACCCACCTGTGAGCCCATTCTATGAGAGACTGGGTGGCCTCGGGCGGTGCCGCAGGAATATAATTGGAGACATGCTCCCAGGCTGACAGAAGTGCATTCACCTTGTCGCCGTACTTCCTCTTGCTGTCAGTCAGCGTCGCCTCGAGCCCCTGCGAAGTGAGAGAGAAGTCGCTCGATTAAGTGAAACCGGAAAATCAACCGGTGAAATAAAGTCGCACAGGGACGACGAAACGTTCGCTTATGTCCCGAGGTCAATGTTGTTCCCATTTTTCGTTTGCAACTTTCCCCATTTGTCTTCCGCAACCTACTCGAATTTCACAACAGCTGATTCGTAACGACTCGAGGAACAATTAGATCAAGAGATGTGTGTACACTGACATATAGGAGAATTATTTACCTACTTATTTATTTAATAAGCAAATTTGTTTTTTGCATAAAACTAGTTGTAAAGGTACCTGAATAATCAAACATTATAGAACTATCGGAGAATTATATGATCGAAAATATAGAAGAGAGAGAGAGAGAGAGAGAGAGAGAGAAACGACGAGAGAGATATACGAATCCGAAAAACACATTCGAAAGAGACTAGTATATATCGGAGATCATCGACAGAGAAAGAAGCGCGGAATTTTCGCTCGAAGAAAGAACGGAATATCGAGTGTCATGACCCAGTAAAACCAGAGTTCTTCGGGGAGCGAGACCTTTTAGCACCGAGAGCGCCAGATACATCAGCATACTCAACGATTTTATGTCGGCGATACGGCGGTACGGCATGTATTAAATAATAAAAAAAAAGGGGGAGATACGACACTTTCTTACGTCTACAGTAGAAATTTGTAGAGACTTAAATTACAAAAAAAAGAAAAGACAAAAGAGAAATCATTTTGCGACGACAAATCAGACACACTCGAATCTCACTGTCAAACTTGCTTCGGGGGTAAGTAGTTCGGCATTACCCAAAATTAAAGTGAATATCGGCCGAACCCAACGGCAAAGTTCAACGGGCTGTGTGGTCTTTCTCGAGAAAAGGAAAAATGTGCCACATAATTGCGAGGATCCATCTTACGCGGCTGCAATGCAAGAACCAACGTCAGTGAGACGTTCCGAAATCGAAAAAGCTACCATTCCGAACAGGTTAAAAGGTCCCCTACTGCATCTGTGCGCGCTTGTTTCTTTCAGCAAGTGCGGCCGCACGTGACAAGCGTAATGACATTTATCTCGGGACTTTGAAGCGCCGTTCCCTCGCCAAATAATGTTTACCAACGACCACGTAGTTCCGTGGAGAATTGATAACACGGTTAAAACTGCGGGCTTATTCGAGAATCGTATTACACAAAACAATTACTTAAGGCTCGCGCAAAATAATCTATGACAAAAGAAGAAAAAAGCAGACAGGATCATAAAGTAAATCTTGGATCTCGCGTTTCCTTTTAACGAGAATTTGCGGTTTCACGCGAAAATCGTAAAAATTCGTTGAAATTTCGTTGAAATCTCCTCTCACTAACTCCGAAAAAGTTAATTTCTTTGTTGGGTCGATCGATTTTAATTGCCGATTTCGTGAGAAGAAACTGTATGGTCTCGAGTTGGTTGACAAAAATACGAGGATACATTACAAAAGAACTTCTATCAAAACAACTTGAACTGAATTAAATGAGAATTTAATTTCAGAGCTGTATATAGCGAAATAACTACCTTAAATTTTTTAGCAAAATAAACTCAAAATCTAGTTTAATGAAACGATAATAAAGCTAACAAGACACATTATCGATCGTATTTATCTTCCGATTCATTCAACCCCACACACACATGCGATAGAATTACTTATGCAGTTAAATCAATTCTTTGATAATTGAAAAAACAATTATATCACGGAAGGAATTTTATAGTAAAAGTTAATTATAGTAAATTATAGTATTATATATTAAAAGTATATTACAGAATTTTGTAACCGAATATATCGACATATCGATATTCTGCCTTATTATCACCTTCCATTTTATAAGTGCTATTTATATTTTTGCAGGACTAAAGTGTACTATTAAAAACTTTAATGTTTCTTGGAAAAATTTGTTATGCTTCTTTTAACAAAATAAAATCTACGGACAGTCTATTCTTACATTACTAAAAGATATGGTAAACATAAGAATTTATATATATAAATTCTTATGTTTACCATATCTTTTA